GAAAGTAAGCTCACTCATTTTTCAAAATGGAATATAAGATGCCTTACACTTAGGCTCCAATTTTCCCAATCTAGTTCTTTGTTCTTGTAAGAATACAACTTTTCCCAACTCGTAAATTATATTATTTCGACGATGGCGATTAAATATTTTCTTCTGTTTCAAGGCGTTTAACTCCAATCTTTCTTTTGCAGTTTCCCGTAACCGAATCAAATCCATCGAGTCATTCGAGATAGAGGGTGCTACTCCTAGGAGAGCAACTGAAGGTGCCTCTGCTTTTCAACCAGTTAGTAACTCTATTGGCTAAAAACATGTCGATTTTTGAAACGTTGTGTTAAGTATGAGTTATAGTTTTACCACTACGCTCGACCATTCCTTACCTTGTCATGTTTCACATATTAGCATGTTTAATATCGTGGAAACGTACCTCTCAGCTTGTCCGTTAGCTCTAGTTGCTGAGGGAGCAATATAATGTATTTCTATTGTATTCTGTATCTATCAAGCATTTCCTTTACAATTTACGCTGTGAAATTGGTACCACGGTCTACAATAAATCGTTTTGTTATACCGAATAATAATAATCTTGATTCTAGAGAGTTCTTCATTGCCTGTCTTCACATATCTCTAAGAAGACATAATAAACAAAAACTTAGTATATGCATCAATAAGTATTAATAGGTGTTTATATCCTTCTTCACTAGCGTCAAACGGTCCAATAAAATCTGCGTGTACAGTATGGAATGGAATTGAAATTTTATCTATACTGTGTAAAAATCCTTGTTTAGGTTCTGTAGGTCGTTTCGCTATAATACAGACAACACATTGGTCAATGCATTTCTTAACAAAACTTGTCATCCTCGGAAACCAATATTTTGTTCGTAATGAGTGTAAAGTATTATCGTAGTCAATGACATTGTTTATCATAATGTTGACTCAGAATGAATAACTGATTTCCTTTAGGAACATAGCAACGTCGAATTTTCTTATTCTTCTCGTCCTTAGTACGTATTAATATTCCTTCTTCTATAGCATAATCAGCAACTATCTCATCTCCTTTACGAATTCTTTTTAATATGTCTTGCGATCCTGATCTCATGACTGTACCGCTTCTAACCAAGTAGCATTTTCTATTGTTAAAGCTTCATTGAGCGATTTAACTGGATTCCGACTCCAATAATCCACTTGTGATACATTCATTCTCTTACGATATTTGATAATAAAATCACAGTCTTATAAATACACCCACCATCTCGCTATACGAGGTAACAGATCTTTTTTTGTTGGCGTTGCCTTAATAGCGCTACGATCTGTTATTAACTTAAATTTTATTGACAAACATACAGCCATGTGAAGCATATTCTTGAAAGAATATTTCGTTCAAGGGAAAAGTTTTTTGATTGTAGCGATGAGACGTGTCTAGGTACAGCAACCGAACCCATCGAAATGCCAACAGTTGTGGCTAAATGCCTGAGGGAATTGGTAATGGTGATGGCGCGGTACAAAACCACCGACAACCCTTTCTGGCCACATAATACTGTACGAAATGTGTCACCACGTATGCCAGCGACTTAAGCTACGCATTTCTGCAAATTAAAGAACAAAAAGTATAACAAATATAGGTTTGGAATTTTCAATAGGTATTCTTTGAAATTTTGTTAATATACGTAGGACATGATATCGAAATTATCCTTCGATCGTACAACCTTCACTATGCTTCGAACTATTTCAATTGAAACAATCTAGTAATTATATAAAATTATCATTGAAATTGTATTTTGAGCAATATCGCAAATGAAAGATAAGTTGGTTTTCTTATCATATTTAATCGAATCAAGGTTTGTACTGTATTCCTTCGCTTACAAGAGTAAAAGAACTCGATTATTTTATTGTGCTTATCCGGAGTTTGAGATTTTACTATGGAATTAAATGGCAACAGAGGGAGGGGAGTCCGAAGGAAGTGTGGGGAAAGAGAATCTGAGTTATTTAATTAAAACCGGATTATACGTGACAGCTAGTTCTCCATGCTACATCTGTAACCACCAACCTGGCACCATCGATATATACTAATTGTTCTATCCGGATTAAATGGCCATAACTACTGTACAAGCTCGTAACTAATTACCTGTAGCTTATAATATTTTAATGATACAAGTATTAGACATCTATCTTACTTAAATTTTTCAGAATTTATGTTACTTAAAGTACATTTCCAAAACTGAAACATATTACGGTTATTTATGCAAATTCACATTTTTACACGTCGTATTACTAATCGTAAATTCCTGATATTTCTACCTGTCGTCCAAAGTTCTATATTAACTTCTGTTAATAAATAGTCCATGTATTAAGTTACAATTGTGAATTAATATAGTGAAAATGTAACCGCGTTTACTTTGCTGTTTACTCTTTCACATTCGACATTCACGAGAAAATCAATTAATGCGTTGTAAATTATTGTAAATAGTTCTGTTTGTCAACATGAAACGTACAATGGACACATTTCCTGTCAAATATTCCGATCCCTGAACAGAGGGTTAGCTCTGTAATCGAACGCGAACTGTCGCCAAATTATGAAACGAAGGAAGCGAACGCGTTCACTGGTATTTTGCATCGCGATTATTTCCAATCGAAGCCGTTCGCGATACCTATAAAGGAAGCAGAAGGTGTCTGTTTCAATAAAAGAAAGGAAAACGGAATATCGAGTCTGGGGTACGGTGAGGCGCAGACATAAATTTGCGAGAGCATTTAATTGAATGGGGGAAAAAGAAGAACGGAAGCGGGACTGAGCTTTCGACAAAAAGGAGGGAAGACTTACAGAGGGAAAATGATGAAGCTACCTGAAGGAAGTGATGACTGACGAGTAGCGGATGAGAGAGACACGCGTCAGGAAGTTCCATTCGCGTGAAATAAACCTTTGCTCATTATTTTATCATATTTAGATGTCTATGATACATATAATAGTAATTTACGTCATTTCGTTCGGGAGAGTCTAAAGAATTATTTCGTGCCGAAAGCAACTAAGTAACTGTTACTGTGAAAGCACTACACTCCTTCAAATTTAAAAACTTGATTCTTTCGATAACTGTATGTGCTGGGAAAAACCGGTTCGCAGACTGCGGCTGTTCATGAAAATCTATAAGAAACGTCTATTGAAGATTATAAAGTATGTTATTATGAAGTCATGTTTCATGGGTGTCATATTCATCCTTTAAACTGAAGCAGCGGATGTATTTCTGCCCTCCAAGGCGTTTTAAATCATTCAGTTTTATACTAACTGGAGAGTAAATTATGGGATTGTTGATAACCCACTACGCTGTCGCTCCGCAACTAGTTCCGTTGACATAGGATCGCAATTATTAGTATTTAACCACCCAGGCGGTTTTTCTGAAACTTTGACCTCCGTTTTCTCGAAACTGAATGTTCTACCAATGCTTTTCACACATGTGTACTCTACACAAGCTCGTTGAAAACGGGGTGGGACAGATCTGAGCCTCCCCTTGTCAGTCTTACACACATCCACCGATCACGACGAGTCATCTATACCCTCTCTACACCCAAATGTACTGCAGAAGGATACAGATATAGAGGATAATAGGAAGAAGAAGATAGGTTCACAGCATATCTTTCTTTTCCCTCGAATCTCCATCGCCTCTACTTCTTCACACAGGAGTTCGCTCTCCAGTTAGTATAGAGCTCAATGTATTAGAGTAAAAGCTCGTTTAGTGAAGGCTATTTTATTGCAACCTAGGAATGCCCTTCGCTCACACGTATTTATCAATCACTTGCGCGCACCCTACTCTGTCGCCCAGCAAGGAAGAAACGGAATTAATGGAATACATACGACGTCTCTTTTAACTCGCATATTTTTTATTACAGAAATTGTGGTGTATATACTTTACTGTAAAAGTTAAATATTAATACCAACAATGTGGTACTTCACTTCGACCCAACGAAAACCGAATAATATTCTTCTTTGTTGAATCGGTTTTCAAATCGTCAACACGAGTCTGACTCAATGTTATAGGGCAAGGGGTTAATAAAATGTTTCGATACTCCGTAACTTTTGTCAATAAACTTTTTGATATCTCTAAAAATAACGAAATTAATAAGCTGATCGAACAGTTCGTACGCCTGTGATTGGAGCTCAATGCAGTATATCTGGAAATTTAGCCCTCTGCAACCCCGAACGCTGCAATAAACGAGCTTATATTGTAGATACACGTAATATGAATGGAATATACATATAATGCTTCATTTGTGCTAATAATATTCAGAATTCATGCTTCATCGGTAACATCGGCTATTGACGCTAAAATGGTAAGAGAGCAACGTAGTCCTCCGATCGTGGATCAACAGAAAGCATTGGATGATAGGTTTATTCTATACTTAGTCGATGCTACGGTGCTGCCAATCTAATACAATACAGTAGAAGCTCGTTGATTGCAGGCTATTTTATCAAAGCAAATGAACGCCCCCCCATTTACACGTATTTCTCACACACGTCCGTGCACCCCACTCTGTTACGGAGCAAGGAAAGAACGAAATACATACAGTGTCGCATTTAACTTGTATATTTTTCATCACAGAAGATCCAGTATACAAGTGAGAGTCAAAACTAAGTATACACCTTACAAGGGTGAGGTGCGTGCAATATTTCTGTAGCATCCTACTATTATCAGATCATGGCAGTGGTACAGTTTGATATGATTTTCTTAACACTTTCGGGATGAATAGGCAATCAAAAAATTCAAAGATCTAACCAGTAAATTATGTAAATATCGTTAAACGTGGTGAATGTACTATTATGGTTTGGGGCAGCATGGCAACCTCTGTGATAAAGTGATAAAATTAAAGAAGAAGATGAGTTAATATAGGAAACTATATAGCAGTTAATATACTGTAAAAAATGAAACTCGTTAGACATGAACAGGACGAGTGACATATGTTATTATACGAGGAATAATATATTGGCATTGGTACACGACAACATTATTTTATCGCAGGTAAAAAGAAATTTCAATCGGATCCATCCTGCTGTCCAGCTTGTGGGGTCACCGTAAGGCCACAAGAATTGGAGCAACATTTTGCTCAGGAACTCGATCGACTGTACAAGTTATCCACTGCCACCTCTCGAGCGCGAACATCAAGGTCGTGTTTGCCTCCTGGACATCCACCGGACCACCCCCATGGACCGATGCTCCATGCCCCGTCGGCTGTTGACGGAACGCCTCATGGAAGGTGGGAAACGTACAAGAGGATCAAAGCAAACAGACAGGTAAATACATAAATAGACACAGGTAATATTATATGTCAGGCCAATAGTTATTCTGATCAATGAAGTAGTACATTTTACGATTACTCAAATGATTTGATCCGTCTTAAGAGTAGCAAATTCATCGAAAATTAAAAAATGTAAACGACCTCTAGTGTCGGCGCGTTTGAAATAACTCACACGTTGGTAACACGGCCACGATGTCGGCTGATTCGTCCAGGTGTTTATTTATCTTCCTTTGCAAACGTGCGCTTCCTTCTTTCTTGTTACTCGTTCTGCGCTTTTCGTGCTATCACGCGATCGGATGTGTGTACATACACCCACACCGTCTTGTAGATACTTTCATGGAACGGCGTGGTATGCTGTTTGCACGCTATTTTTAAATATCTCGCGCAGGTACATCACACGACGAAAAATTTTATGTGAAATTTTTTTATCTCGACTATTCCACGCCAAATTGATCACTGTTTGCACTCGATGTTAGGGATTTTGTTTAAATTGAAATGTATTGTTGTCCACGATAAACTGGGGTTGGGGAGGGGCAGAGGGGAAGAGATTTAAATCATCATTTTGCTAGTATCGCATTTGTTTAAAAAATATATCCTCTCAAAATTTGTAAGTTTTGCCTATTTTCGAAAACTGAGGTGTACTTACGAACTTTTATAGTGGCGTACCAGTCAAGAACATGGCTTCGATTGATTTTTAAAAAAAAAACTGGCTGTACGTGGAAAAGGGTGTTTGCAGAATCGTATTCAGATAATAAAGATCTATCAGAAACGCCTATTAACAATAAAAAAGAAAATTAAAATTTGTTGAACAGTGTTATTAAGAGTATAGCTTTTTAACACATATGTTCTCAGGCCAGAATCCGTGTAAAGAATCGAAAGAGAAAAGCAGATGAACCATCATGCCCTGTTTGTAACGAGAGGTTATCCGGTACACCAGAGGAATTGAATCAACATGTCGAAAGGTGTTTGAGCAAACACAATAATGGCAATCCTGTTGGGCAGAACAATGTGGACGATGAGGATGTTGATGTAGAAGGCGATGCGGAAACATTCGAAGAATATGAATGGGCAGGACAGAGACGAGTAAGAGCCACTTCGATGCTTGTTGGAGGATTTTCTGGTATGTACATGTTTGTCTGGATCATTCCAGGCCAAGCGGATCACTTCTGTACACGATGTCTGGAATTTTGCTCAAATTTAAATACGTTCTAGTAACGTATATTTGATGATTCGAATGAAAGAAAAATCAAATTCGCATCTTTAATAGTTGCGTAGATAAAAATTCTTCTGTGAAGGTAGTTTCCGTAAAAATCGGTGAAAATTGCCAAATTTTAAGGTCTGTATCTTTTAAACAATTTCGAAATCAGCGAAAAGATGAATTAACCCCCCACCCCTCCACCTCATTTTCACGTAGATAATAACGTATTTCAATTTCTGCTGGCTTCTTGCCTATTCTTTTCATCCTTACAGTCTGCCTCTTTATATTTATCTTCTAACATATCTTCTATTCTGCATTTTCCATATGAAACATATGCTAGTTTTGAACCAGAAGTGAACGCTTTCTCGAATTTATTAGATTCAATTCGTTTTTACACCTTTGTCTCCCTTTTTTCGTGTTTCTAGCTGCAGGTCTAGCAACGTCGTCGAGTAATCGTTCATCGACCGGCGGAAATGGTGGTTCAAATCAACAAGATGACGAAGATGTTGACTTAGTGGTGGACGGCGATGACGCAGCCGAGTTCGGGCCAGCGCAGTATTCCGAGGCTGATGTGATTGCGCCTCGTATGGATGGTACGCCTAGGGAACAAAAAGAAAGAGACGCTCTACGAGAAGCCGTGATTTCACCCAACGCGTCGAATTCGATACACACACCACAGACTCCCGAGCAAGTCAGTCAGGGAATGGTCGAGGTGAAGCCTGAACCCGGAACGACGACACCTCTCGGTCAGAACGAGCAAGGTGAAGTAATTCCATCGTCGCCGAGAAGAGACGGTGACACACCGGTAATCGAAGCTCTTAGAGGAAGAATTCGAGAACTCGAAGCGGAAATGCGCGGTCAAATGTTCAAGTGTCTCATCTGTATGGTTAGTTTTTACTGTGATTACAGCATGTACATACATATAAATCACTGTTGATTGCGATACAACAAAGAACATTGTACCTTAAACATTCTATTGTAGAACACTGACACACATACCCGCATTATTTTTTCTGGCAATATTATATCATCGAAAATACCGTGGAATTCTAATAAATATGAATTGTTTGCGGTATAATAGCTTTCTACAATCTACCCAAACATTTTTTACGAGATGAGAAAAGTATGAAAATTGTTATTATACTCGAAAACAAGTTATTTTTAAGTAAAGCTGCATGTAGACCATCCTTTATATTATACTAAATTTTCTGATATTAAAAGAAATTTTAATTTATCTCTGTTCTCAGGAACAATACAAGAAACCTGTAACTTCCATTTGCTGCTGGCATGTGCATTGTGAACAGTGCTGGTTACATACACTGGTAAGTTATATGCTTTGTAAAAATATCTTTCGAAATTCTCGTAATGTATGTTGTGTTTCAATAAATTTACTAAATAACATTCCAACTTCAAATAGATACAGAAGGAACGTTTTCGATAGAATACTAAATACTCTTTTTTTTTTTCTATCCTATAAATGCTTTCAACTTACTCAAATTGACATACAATTGTCACACTTAATTATTCGTATAATAATACATTTAATAACAAGACAAATCCAATTAGAACATCACTTCTTTTCTGAGAAACATTTTTTGCCCGAATTCATTTCTATTGAAACGTCATTTTGATTTCATATTAAGCTTCCGACGTTTTATTGCAATGTTTTTAATGGAATTAAAGGAATTCGTCTCTTTTTAATTGATGTCTGGGTCCGTTTAAAACCTTTAGCTATGTGTAGACACTGCGAGGCTGCCTCGCGGCTAAGTTGTCGCGCGGCAAGGTAACGATTGTCGGATTTTCGACGGTATCAAAGGCACGTCGCAGTTCGTTCCTCGCTTCGTTTGGACGTACATTGTTACGCGATGCTCACAAGTATCAAAGAACCAATAGAAAACGGTCGATGTTCAAACATCCCGCTGACGTCTAAATTAAAACCTTCATTTTAATCATATATTTTTTATATTATAGGAAAACTTATTATTTAAAAATAAATTTTCCCAATCCTACATTCTCTATAGTTAATAGCAGCGACTAATCTTCCCTGGCAGAACTGCGCTTTCTATTCAATTTCCTTCGGGGAGCTTTTAGAAATGGAGTCACTTGCGAACGAACCTGATACGAAATCAAAGAGTCGCAGGGAGGTGAAACTCGTGAACGAACCCGATGCAAAATCGGGGAGTCACTTGGATGAGATTGTGCAGACGAACTCAGCGCGTATCTGAGGAACTGCAAAGAGGGTGGAAAGTCTGTACAGACGAACCTGATGTGAAATCAGGGAGTTGTTAGGATGAGGACGAACCTGATGCGAAATCAGGGAATTGTTAGGATGAGGACGAACCTGATGCGAAATCAGGGAATTGTTAGGATGAGGACGAACCTGATGTGAAATCAGGGAATTGTTAGGATGAGGACGAACCTGATGCGAAATCAGGGAGCCGCTGTATACGTTGAGTTTCGTGGACGAACCAGATGCGAGATCGGGGGGAGCCACTAGGTGGGAAAACTCTTGGAAAAGTGAAACGTGCGGACGAACCTGAAGCGAAATCAGGGAACCGCTGGAAATGTTAGTTAAGCCTCGTAACTCGTTTTATAAATTTAGATACAACTCGAGCGGTAAAGTTGTATCGCGTGGAAAAGGTCAACTACGACTATAATGATTACCACGCCAATGAATTTTAAGAAATGGAATTACTCACGTTTATTAAAGAATATTACTTGAATATTACACAATCAGTCTTTGGTATAAGTATCTGTAGTGTTGTAGCACGGTGTTAACGCACTGGCACTGCGGGGATAAGAGCGGCGCACTTGCCACCCCCTCCACCTCCCTTGGACGGAAAAAAGTAGCTTTTGCCCCACCCTACAAAAAATATTGGATTTTTCCCCCGCCCCCTCCGTCCTCGGAATTATAACATTTTTGTGTAATATTTAATATTGCAGTATAATTTGAAACACGACCAACAGCCTCTATTAACAAAACGCATACATTTGCAACGATTTATGACTTGAAAAGGAAAATAAAGTGTGTCTGGCTACGTACAACCTTTATCACTGTGGCAGTCGATGTGTTAATATTTAATAACTTCTTTTTTTTTTAAATAAAACCCTTCCTTATGTATCTATTTATGTTCCTTGTGATGATTCATAGGAACTTTGATTAAAATTTATATAATTGAGTCTCCATCGGTACATAAATATTATCTAGTGTGCACAATTGTCAATGGCAGTGCCAGACATATAAATGTCTACGAATGCAGAGAGAATAGCGAAAAGCCTTAATTTCCGCTGTCTTTTTCAGGGTGCAAAAAAGCTCTGTCCGCAGTGCAACATGATAACATCACCTTCAGATTTGCGGCGTATTTACATGTGAAGAAAGTTTTGTGCCAAACAGGACATCGTTAATCCTGATGTTATTCATAAATAAATCAGCGCGTTCTAAACGCATTGATTTTGTAAATATTTGTATAGTTTTATGCGTCACGGTTAATTAACTCGTTTAGACTTAACATGCACTGTTACACAACGTAGCATTATACAGAAAATTAACTCTGCTACGGTCCTCAGTCTAGCTACACATTCGAAATAACGACGAATATGAATAAACAGGAACATCAGTACCAACTTCTTTACACATTTCGCAAATCTAGGGAGATTTCTAAAAAATGAGTATTAAAATTAAGTCGGAAAAGTGTGTAAAGTCGTAGCATCATTAAATAAACGAAAACGTGATTGGATCGAAATGGATTCGAAGACCGTAGCAGAGTTCAACGTGAAAGGTGCGCGTGAATAATGCCTTGATCAAAGCAAACTGAACATTTGTGATCGCCTTCCATTTCTTTTTTGGTGAAATATGATTTTCACCTCAATTGTAATTCCTTTCTGCCTAGTTTATAAGTATAATATATTGGTGGTTAGCTCCATATATGTAATTATCATACATTATTGTTAACCCAATGTACTCTTATTTAAAACCCCGCGTGTATTCCTACGTTTACTCTGATTTATATCCCAGCAGTGGTGTGGTTTGTGCAGTTCAAGGCAGAATGTATTCAAGAAAAATAACTATAAAAGATATTAACCTGAAATTTGGACCGTAGGTGTCAAATCACATGTTTCTAATATTCCAAAAACTTCTCATAGGAGATATCTGTTAAAAACTGAACGCATCATAAAAGAATGTTTAATACTTTGCGCGCTGAGGGTCCATCTGATCTGCCGAATTTTAGGCCCAGTAAGCACAAGCGGGCGAGTTCATTGGGTTAATAACGGAGCAATTTCTCCTAGCCACTGATAAACGTTTGTTACTTAACAGGGTAATTGTATATTTAAAAATTGAGAACGGTCGAAAAGAATAAAATCTATTCAAATAATCTACTTGTAATTACAATACTTTACTGGTTATATACACATACGTGTGTGTTTTTTTAAATTACAACGTTTTTGTGTGTTCGGTGCTAAACACATTGACCACAGGATTCCCTTTTAACAACGGAATGTCCGCAAGGTTTATTGCCTTCAGTGCATTTAATTTTATGCGTGGAATCGAATCATATACGAATCGAGGAATATTCGCGCGTACCTGGAATTATAGATGTGAATTCAAGAAACTACCATCAACCTTAAATTTGCTCTTTTACCGAACTTGAAAGACATTTGTGTCTGAAACCCACCGCGTTCGACCCATAAGCGTTAGTGTACATGTGTGGGATATCACCAAACTGCTAGTATAATCCTTGTGAATTTTCAATTGTCAGATTCAATTGTCAACTTTCAATTATCAACTACAAATTATAAATTATAATAATACTTTACAAAGTATAAAAGAACTTACCGAAATAAAAAAAACAAGGGATGCTTCAGGGAAAACAGACCAAATGTCGTAGATCTTATAACTGTTTTTTAACAGTTTATCTGTTTTATAAAAATAATTTTTTCAACGATTCTTTCCGTTCCTTTGTTTAATGACAATCTGCGTGAGAAGATATTCGAGGTGATGGCTTGGCAAGGAACAATACAGCAAGTTGAATTCTTCTTTAGCAAATTGCGAAAATAAGCAATAATGGTGCCTGATTTATAGATTTTTTATCTTCATCACCGTCGTTCATCAATCAAGCGATGCACGCGGAAATCCTTTTGGATTTCTAAAAGAATTATTATGACGTTCAAGTTGATTGTTAAATTGGATTGGTTGCTCCAAGCTGAAAACTCAAAATGTATTCCGCGCGTATCGGTATGATCGCTGTAATTTATTGTCCGTAAAATATACTGTCCAGATACATTTTACGTTTAACGATTTTCTCATCTCAAGATTAAATAAGCAACATGTTAATATCGATCGTGAGAGAAAAAGGAGTGAAACAGATTCCGCGGATGTTCCTTGTAAGCAAGTCTTCGATTTAGAATCGACTTTATTCCTTTCTCTCTTTCGTTCAAAATCGTAGATCGATGAATCGTCCCCACTCGCACATCGGGGACATTCTTGTAAATACAGAAACGAATAAGAGAACAGAAAAAATCAATTGCCTAATGTGAGCGTTGTTCTGTAATCAAAATAAAGTGATCATGGAATGTAAAACCGTTGTCTACTATCGATTAATTTCTTCTTTACATGACGAATCCTCGCACTCAGAACTCCTAACAGCAAGATATCAGTAATTCGACTGATATTGCCGAATCCCATAAAAATGAAGAAGATATGAAGGTATGTACCATTTTCGAGAATTTTTCAATGTTATTTTATCAGAAACTGGTTATAATAAAATTCTATCTTAAAGGAATTTTTCATTATATTCACTATACTTTACCACAGACACTGCTTTATTTGCTTAATTGAATCATTGGGAATATATTTACAATTGTTAGTAAAATATTATCCCTTAAGTGTACACATACGTTAAGTGAAATGACGTAAAATTCGTAAAGGAGTCTGAACTACACGACAGGTAACGAGGAAACAAGATTAATTAAGTAGAATTCTATACTGTTTCTACAGACATTACATAATGATTACACTTAATATCGACTCTTCATTTTGATAGTGGCATTAAAAACTTTTACATAATCATTTTGTCATTTGCTTAAAGGGAATACAGTGTGCGTTTAATTTATTTGCCTCAGCTAAGATTAAAGAATGCACCTGACAAAGGCAAAACAATGTCGGCTCGCCAAGGACGAGGTAAAACCTGATGTAAAATGCTTGTACGCCCTTAAATGCATATTCGTGGTAATTCGAGTAGATGGAAATGAAAACCTAGACAAGATTCTGTGGTTTGCAGGTGCGCTCCTGCGGAAGGACCGCGATGGATCGATCCTTTTTGCTGCCGAGAAAGACAGAGTGTTAAAGAGTGAGGGAAAGAGTTGGACAGAGAGAAAAGGTGAAGAACGTAGGAGACTGGAAAAGATGAAAAAGGTGGGAAAATGGTTGAACACCTAAACGAGTTTGATCCAGCAAAACAAGGAAACTAAAGTACGTGGGTGAGAGTGACTGCGAGGAAACAATACAAATAGCAGGGCAGGGAGGGATGTGAAAAAATTGGGGAAAAGTATAATAAGAGGAGGGATTGTAGGTGGAGGCGGAACTCAAGACTCCGCCTATGCTTTCCATCCTCTACTTGCCAACAATTGAACCCCTCTACTTACACGCGAATTCACGTAACGCTGTCTTCCACACCTCGGTACTTCCAGCCACTTGAAATTCTCGAACTACCTAAAACTTCCTTCATAGTTGACCCACTTCAATTCCCATTGATTCGTTTTTATTTAACTCCATTTCGAAAACTACGTTCTGTCGACTTGAAATTAATTTCTTCGCTACTCTACGGGACCTATGTACATTAGGGTGGCTCCTATTTTACTCTGAATGATACCTTTTTTTAAGATCTTTTTGCGCCACTCCCAGAATGGTCCCTGTTAATAAAAAAATAATCTGTGTGAAGTTTGAGCTCAATTGGATAAGGGAAAAGAAGCCCCGGGCCCTTAAACATTTAAATGATTACTTAAACGTACACAAATTCGATTTTATTCGATTATCTTCTACGTTATTAATTATATCAAAAACATGTTAGACTAAACTTGTTGATTACAGGAGCTTCCGAACCTTGCGTTCTCCAAAAAACACAAATTGTGATAAGTGCTCAGCCCTCTTCTATACATTTTATGTTTGCATAATTACAAAAATATACCAAAACGTGTCTTTATCTCGCAATTTGCTGATGATCTATTAGTATATATGAATCTCATGTCCATTAAGAGAGCTCAGAATATGACAGCAAATACACTAACTGCGATTAAAATTCATCAATAAAATACGTAAAAATTAGATATCCGGGAAGATTTGTAGAATTTTGACAATTACAATAGGAAAATTCGTTTTTTCTTTTATTTATTCATGCCACTTCTAAATCACAAATAGAAAACGATCAAACAACAATCTACGTTTAAAACAAAACACAAACGTATCAACGAACAATATTCTTTTCTACAACTACATTCGTAAAAGGTAAATCATACGGCTAAGGTGGTGAAAAGATCAATGAAGAAAGGAGAAATAAAAGAAGCTGTCGCGACGGTATCTCACGAGCATCTGACAGTGGAAGTCGAAACCGTGAGAACACGAGGGTGGTGTTGAAGGCGTCGGAGGCGTTGGCGTAATTGCCAGAAAGGGCGTGTATTTGCGAGGAAAAGCGAAACGGGTGGTTATACGACGGCGCAAGTCAAGCACCCGTTTTCGACGCCTGCGAACTCGAGCGTAAGGCACCTATGAAACTGGTTGCGACCGCCTACCACCCTATCGAAACAGACCAGGTCCGAACCTCGGAAGACCTCTTCCACCTATCCACCTAGCGGTTTACCCACCTAGAACCTTCAGTAACTTCACTGGAAAACGAGACGAGCAAGCCAGTCAGGGAGGAGTAGGAGCTAGCTGCGTTCTTTTATTTCGCATACCTCCACCTTCTTCCCACCACCCTTTTCGTAAATTACATCTGCACGTTGCATTTGTTTCATCTACACAGTCTCCGATTCACTATTTCTCTCCACGTTTGCTGTTATCGAGCTCGAAAAATGCATTGTTCTTATGCTGATTCACAAGTTTCTTCTCGATACGTTCTCACCTGTTTTTATTATGCTTTTTCGCCGTTGAGAAAAGGGCGAAAACGAGATTGAACGAAGTATTATGATATTATTCACTATTTTTATTTGTACATACCCTCACGAGCAGACTCGGCTTCCTCTAGGGGAAAAAGTGGCGTAGAAGAAGAGCCTCCTACTACTTGATAATGGGAATTACTGAAATTTATGCCAAATTCATATTCGATTTAACATTTATTTCAGTACCTGGAATAAATTTACCAAATGGTAGGAGGCCCTTTTCTTACGCCACTTTTTACCCTAACGGAAGCAGAGTTTGCACGTCAGTGTACGTACAATGTTAGGGCGTTTTCCCCGCATCTCGTCACTTTGGGGGATAAAGGAATGTGCCTTTGGATTTTTGCACGTATAGTGCGAACTCCAGTCGAATTTGTTGATAAATCAAATTAATTTGTCAACTGTATTGTACAGACTAACATTTAGATGTTACAGTCGCCGGAATGTTTCGAATTACTGGGAGTGTACAATATGTCGAATGTATGTGAAAACAAAGGTGTCCATGTGACGTAATCGCTGTGTTGTTTACAAAAAACGTAGAGCTGTCATATACGTACTGTATGCAAACGAAAACAGTGAAGGTAACGTGCAAGAATCCGATCATTAACCTCAGCTGTTAGAATTTAAACGTAAACTCCATCATGAACTTGGTTTTGATTATTCTAACATACAACAATGGGTCAATATAAATTTCCTGCGATATACGTGTAAAAAGAACACATAATACACCAATTTAACTGAACAATATGGTAACGTCAACCAGTATCTAATTGTATGTATGTTCAAATTAGTTATTCATGAGAAATTCTTTAGAAAGAAAATTTTTATTCTACAATTTTATTAGTTTTAATTAATATTAATTTTTATATTATTTTTATTAGATTTCGATCGCATTTACACCGCTGAAAGAGTATCCTTTTTCTTCGTCGCGCATTAGATTCGATATTCAAAGAACGTAGATTAGTTCTGTCTAGCTGCTGGGAACCAGTAATTATAAGAACATTGTTAAAATCACATTTGTTTGCAACGGTTGAAACTGTATCTCGTCATGCGTACCCCGTTTAGTTCACTTTGAACAACTCTTCCAACGTTATGCTGACAGCATTCGTCTTGACTAAGCATTCAAATTGAAGCTCAAAGAACGTAGATTAATCCTCTGTCATTAACAATAACAATAAACAACCGGAACACTGTTAAAATCGCATTTAATCGTGGAATACCACTATTTTTTTGACTGGTGGCGCCACCCGTGGCAATTCGCTCAAACTGCTAGCGAAATTATACCGACAAGTAAGTGAAAATTTCTGCAGTTGGAAAAACACGAATATCTCATTAATTAGGCCTTACACATGAACGTTGTTAGTCTCAAATTATTCCTAAGGACTTACTGCAACGACCCAATACTGCAGAACCCGAGAATTAGGAAAATTATTTATGCCAGTACTAACGCAGATCCTTATGGAACAGCAAACCTAATGTCAACAGATTACGGTCGCATTAACACCGCTGAAAGGGCATCACTTTTCTTCGTCACGCATTAAATTCGAAGTCCAAAGAACGTACATTAGTACTCTCTAACGATTGGGATCCAGAAATTACAATGACATTGTTAAAATCACAATTATTTGTAACGGTTGACACTGTATTTCGTCGTGCGTACCCCGTTTAGTTCACTTTGAATAGCTCTTTCAACGTTATGCTGACAGCTTCCGTCTTGATCAGGCATTCAGTTTAAAGCTCAAAGAACGTAGATTAATCCCCTGTCATTAACAATAACAATAAACGACCAGAACACTGTTAAAATCGCATTTAATCGCGGAATACCACTATTTTTTTGACTGGTGGCGCCACCCGTGGCAATTCGCTCAAACTGCCAGCCAAATCATACCGACAGGTGAGTGAGAATTCCTAGTGATGCAAAAACGCGAATATCTCAGTAATTAAGCGCTTAAAATGAACGTCATTAGTCTCAAATTGTCCCTCAGGACTTAATGCATGGACCCAATAGTGCAGAACCCCTGAATTAATAAAATTAGTTGTGCCTGTATTACCGTAACCTCTTATGGGGCGACAACCTGATTGCAAAATATTTCGATCGCATTTACACCGCTAAATGGGCATGATTCTTCTTCGTTTTGCATTAGATACAACGTTTAAAGAACGTAGATTACTATTCTCTAACGGTTGGACGCTAGTAATTACAAGAACAATGTTAAAATCGCTTTTGTTTGCAACGGTTGACACTGTCTCTCGTCATGCGTACCCCGGTTACTTCACTTTGAATAGCTCTTCCAACGTTATGCTGACAGCATCTGCCTTGACAAAGCACTCGATTTGTAGCTGAAAGAACGTAGATTAATCCCCTGTCATTGAAAATAACAATAAACAACCAGAACACTGTTTAAATCGCATTTAATTGCGGAATACCACTATTTTTTCGACCGGTGGCGCCACCCGTGACGAATCGCTAAAACTGCTAGCCAATTTTAGGCGAGTAGTTTCAGCGATTCGCCACGGGTGGCGCCACCGGTCAAAAAAATAGTGGTATTCAACAATTAAATGCGATTTTAACAGTGTTCTGGTCGTTTATTGTTATTTTCAATGACAGGAGATTAATCTACGTTCTTTAAGCTACAAATCGAATGCTTGGTCAAGACAAAAGCTATCAGTATGACGGTGTAACAGCTGTATAAATTGAACTAAACGGGGTACGCATGACGAGATACAGTGTCAACTGTTGCAAATAAATGTGATTTTAACAATGTTCTTGTAATTACTGGTTCCCATCCGTTAGAGAGTATTATTCTACATTGTTCAAACTTCGAATTTAATGCGTGACGAGGAATAATGATGCCCGTTCAGCAGTGTAAATGTAATCGAAATCTGATGCAAGTAGGGTTGCCGCTCAATAAGGGGCTACGGTAATACAGGCATAACTAATTTTTCTAATTCAGGGGTTCTGCACTATTGGGTCCATGCATTAAGTCCTGAGGAACAATTTGAGACAAATGACGTTCATTTTAAGCTCTTAATTACTGAGATATTCGTATTTTTCCATCACTAGAAATTTTCACTCACCTGTCGGTATGATTTGGCTTGCAGTTTGAACGAAACGCCGCGGGTGGCGCCACCGGTCAAAAAAATAATGGTATTCAGCGATTAAATGCGATTTTAACAGTGTTCTGGTTGTTTATTGTTATTGTTAATGACAGGAGATTAATCTACGTTCTTTGAGCTTCAATTTGAATGCTTAGTCAAGACGAAAGCTGTCAGCATAACGTTAGGAGAGTTGTTCAAAGTGAACTAAACGGGGTACGCATAACGAGATACAGTTTCAACTGTTGCAAACAAATGTGATTTTAACAATGTTCCTATAATTACTGGTTCCCTACTGCTAGAAAGTACTAATCTACGTTCTTTAAGCTTCGAATATAATTCATTACGAAGGAAAATGATGCCTGTTTATATACATATACATACTATGTACACATCACTTTGTTTATCTCAGATACAGAATTGAAATATTTTCACTGGCTAAGAACTCCTTGAAAGGTCTATAGACCTGATACGACCATGGGACAGGGCGAGGGTCCCATAAACTTTGTGTGAAAAACAGCAATTTTCCAACATTTCGGTCAAGACCCATATGTAAATGTATTTCCCAGTTTCAACCATGAAAGGAGTGCAGATATTTCCATATTTCCATATTCCATGATTTCCACTCGGAAACAAAAATAACTTTGAATATTTTGTTATTGAACGTTACTTCTTTTTAATGTTTCTTGGCAAAATATGAACTGCATGCAATATGTTTGTCAATTGCATTTCTTCGGATACGTAGATACGAGAACGTATATGTTGAGTTACAAAGTAACAGATCATACATTGTAAAAGAAAAGTAGAAATCAAGAAGCTTCATAATAAATATATTTATTCCATTTTATATTATTTATATTTATAATAATCAATACATTTAATCTATACTTATTTAATGTGATTATATTATAATGTATTTTAGCAGAATAAATTTAATTTAGACGTAAATGAAAGGCACAATAATTGGTGTTTCCAACAATAAATAATTGACATAAATACGGCTGTGACTTAATATTTGACATTATTTGCAATTCTGACTGCCGTTCAACTTGTTCTCCAGCTATTATAACCAGAACCCACATGCAATATTCACAAGTGATAATGTACAAGTACAAGTAGATGTCACGTAAAATGTACGCTTATTAAAAGTTAAACATCTTAATGTGTGAAATAATTGAGGCACGAATCATTTCTTCTATTTCGCTGCAATTGAGCTAATTCGTAGATTATTTAAGTACTAGAAAATAAAAAGCAACGAAATTGTTTGCCAAAATGATTCATAACTCATAAGCACCCTTAATCATGATATGTACTAGCAGTGCAAGATTTGATTACATGCATAATTCTTTCTCTTTAAATAACGAAACAACATTGTTCGAATTTTACTTTTACTATGTTCATCGCTAATGCGAATGTTTGAATCTGGTTATACTCAGTACATTACGAAAAATACAGGGTATTCATAATTACACTACTTCACACATTTTTTTCTAAATGTCGAAAAGAAAATAATGACATCGAGCAAGTGTATAAACTTCAAGAAATGATTTTCAACGATAAACGGTACTTCAATAGTTTGACGAATCTATATAACAGAATAGCACCTTTATGTTCTTACAGAAACAGCTTACACAGTATGACCTAAACTTAAGTATGTACCACATTAATAATTTACATTAAATAAATCTGTATTTTATTGTATCACGTTGAAATTTAGATCTCAAGTAATGAATGCTGGAATGTTGTTACAATTCACAGCAAAAATAACCAAGTGTTTCGCCGCAGTTCCGTATATTTATTTCGTTCTTTTCTTGTATAATATTTAGGATAATTGAAATGAATAAAAAGGAACAAAAGAAAAATAAATAAGGGAACAAATAATCAAAACAAAAGTAGTCGAAGTTTACAGCAATACAATGAAAAGAAGCAACAAAACGAAGAACAAATAATTATACTTCGACTTTGTATGGTGACCCAGAAATATGTTCATCGCCCCATTTTACTAAAATGATGTACTCTCCTCTTTCACGAACCATGTAGCTCACGTTGTAATTATTACGGCCCGTGTGTTTCGTTGTGATTTCGTCACATGGTCCTTTCGGTCCATAAACAGCCACATACAGGATATTATTACCTACGCAAGAAAACAGTTATATTACAAAAAATTAAACGTAAAGAGTAACATGCATTTCTTATTTTTCAATCAAAATTATTTCATGTTATTGTAACTACGACTAAAGATTGTAGTTTTTGAAGCGACACTTCTTAAGCTGCGATAGCGTAATTTTGCTTAGATGCATAAAATTTCTCAAACACCAGTTAATATTTATATTATTCTGTAATATTAATGGTACTTTACCGGCATCGCCTGCGTTCACGGTAAACTGATTTTGTTTTCCAAGGTACGCTTTCTTTAGACCCATTCCTTTGCTTGTCACCTTACTAGCGTCTGACTTGAATAGGGGTAGAACTGGTCCCGCTTGCTTCGATTTCGAAATTTTCTGAACAGTTTCGACAACAACTGAGCTTGTTTCTTGAGCACCTTTCTCAGCAAGATCCGCACCTATATGAAAAACGCAACATATTTATATACCTAGCACCCATTTAAACGGTTTAATAGTACCTATTGCAAGCGTACAGTTCTCGATAACGATTTTAAAATCTCTGCACCCTTAACCCGTAGTAGGCATACTGATACGAATTCGCACGAGCAAAAATTTCAAGTGTTATAGAAAAGTAAAATACAAGCGTATCAAAAACCATAGAAGAATGTTATCTCGAAAGGGTTAAAAAATGAAATTACCATTATATTTCAAGACGCAGTAAATATTATTTGGATTAAATTACTAATAGATAAAAGTAAGAAAAATACTAACCGGTACACGGCACCTTGAATGGAGACCCCACAATATGATATCCATTGTACTTGACGCTGATGTAATAATCACCAGGTACTAAGGGTGTGTATCTAACCTTGTACCCTTCTTCGACCTCTGTACAGTCCATTGCAACTTTGCTTGGCCCATCAACGGTTACGTTAAGCGATCCAGTGCCGGCGTTACAAGTATCGATAATGAAATCAGTTTTTTGCCCCGTTTTGATATCCTTCAAACCATTTCCGTAAGCGTGTACCGCAGCAGGATCTGCATCCACTTTCCCGACTTTAACGGGGAACGGACTACCCGCTATATGGACACCGTTGAATTTTATGTGAATATTGTGGATACCGTTTTCGTGCGCCATAAATCGCACAGAGTATGTGTCACCATCGATGGCTTGAATGAAGCAGTCATCTTCTGTGCCACTTGGAGACACAATCTGCAGAAACAATGAATCTCTTTCATTATTCTGCATTTTAAACAGGCTAAAGGCTTTAACTTGTGACAGAAGCGACGTTCCTATCCTGTACATTCCAGTTTCCACGAAAGTTAAAATAATAAACATTTACACATATAAATAAGGTGACTTCATTTCACTGTATCCTGCATTATTTTACAGTGAATTATATTCTTAGTTAAATCTATTGCAAATAATTCACACTTCTACATATTTTTTACCGTATATTAACATTTCGTATGTTATTACATACATATACCAGCTTACATATTAATTCATATTTCTAATTACCAACTTATAAACGTGAATACACGTCGATATATAATTAAAAATTGTTCAATTTCTGCCGTGTGTAAAGTCATTTGCATCACCAAACTTTCATCAACCAATTATGTGGATGTGTGTGTGTGTGTGTGTGAGACAGGGGGGGAGGGAGAGAAGGGGGGAGAAGAAGGGTAAAGAGATGGAGAGAGGAAAGGACACTCAGCAAGGTGACATTTACAACATATGTCAAGGTCAAGGTCATCGGAGCTGCCTCCCCTATTCTAAATATTTACCAAAATTAATAAACATAATAAAATATAAGAAGTCGTCAACAAAGATATATCATTCATTCATTGGACAAAATTTTTCTCTCCTATTGTCATTGGATTCATTATATACTTTTTTAATTTGTAACTAAATGACAATAACGAGATTTAAATAGTTTTTATGTATATTGTAGGTTAATATATTCTTAAATAAATATTATATCGTTACTGTAATAATTATATAAATTTCGTGTCTTTAAAACTTCGATAAGGAAAAACAGATTCAATTTTTTACGACTAAGATTCTCAATCAAAAAATTGTAGAAAAATTCTCGTATGTAAATGAAAACTTCAGTAATGGTAAAATAAGAAATCTACAATGCGTTATTTTGACAGATTTGGTAGTTCTAGTGTTAGTTAGATGGAACTATAATATACGACGTGAACACTATTTCGCCACCTACGCAGTATGATTTCAGGACGCAGTTTCATAAAAGCAAGTTATTTTCAGCACAGTTTTAGCAAAGGCTCCGTCACTAAAATGATGTAAGTTTCTATAAAAAGCGAAAGTCTGGAACATTACGCTATAAAATATCTTATAATGTCATTATAATCTTGTTATTGGTCTATGTTATTTGACCACACATTGTACGATACTAAAAACTATGAACTTCTACTTAAATCACATTTTTCTAAATTTATTACAGTAATTTCGAAGCATGCGTGCAGGATGCATGGACAAATACAAGAATAAATGTTACCTTTGCATCGAGTTCACCCTTGGCACCGTTTTTACGGACTAGGAAGGTAGTTGGCTTGTCTGGTTGTACGCCGGATTCTGGAAATCGTGCAACTTCCAGCTTATGAGCATCACCCATGGCCGGTGATATATAAACTTTATGCGGAGAGTCGGGAATATGTTGGTCATTGAATTTTATTCCAACCCTGTAGTCCCCTGAAAATTCAACGCAATTATAATAATCAGATTTATCAGACGTTTGTTTGTTAAAAAATCAACATTCTCTTATTCCGTTTACAAAAGCCTAGTAAATTACTAACTATTGCTACTATTAGATTTTTATCTCGACAGGATTTTCGTCCACTTCCCGCAAAAAGTCGACTTTAGTAGAACGTGAAAAAGTATGAACGATTGTTATAATTGGCCTTTTTCGTGGAATATAAAGATTAATAATGTAATGAAAAGACACACGTAAAAAGGGAAACGATTTGATGTACTGGCTAACGATAAAAAGACTAATTAAAGGAAGAGGTAGTGAAGGCTGAAATAGCAGTAAAGTAGAACCAATTATAATAAAACAAAATGTTGTAAAATGGAAGTAACTGTATCCGAAAAAGACTTGGTTGACTAATTAAAAAAAATAACGTAAATCGAGCATAAGAATACAGGAATGGTAGGCGAAAAAATAAAGGACTGAACGCAGCTTGATCACGAACCACCATTTTCGTCAGTCTGATTTCAACTTCTGGTTTCGATTCGTCCACGTTTTCTCACTTTCATGAGGCGCTCTCTTGCCCTCTCTGGTCCTCGCTAGATTTATCTCTCTTCCTCTCGTGTGAGGCACGCTACCCAAATATAACAACCATACCAATTCACATTCTGCAGTCCTTAGTCATCAAAATATGAATTCACCTTGGACGCATATACAGATGCAGATATTTCTGGTATCACTAGGAACGGTCTTTGCACATGGATGCTTTAAAATACAGACTGCGCTCGATTATCGTCTGGCTAGTTCTACAGGATTATTGTCCAGACGTCATCGCCACCACTGGGGTGAGGCGTGCACTGGGAGCGGGAGGGGGCGGGGGCGATAAATCTATCAAACACATACTTTATTGCCCCACGGCGCCGAGGCAACTTCCCATTCATGCATAAGATTATAATGACTTTGGTAACATTTCATTTGACTAAATCTCAAATATTACAATGTAGAGATTTTGTTATCTCTCTATTATTATCAAAATTAGATTGCGGATTGGACTTCAACTATACAGGAAGCTCGTATAATAGAGTATGTGTACTGCAGGATAATAAAACGATAGCGGATAAACAACGCATAAAAACAACAGGGGATTTAGAAAGCTCTGTGAATTTTCACCAACGGAAAGAATATATTATAAATAAGAAGTATACAAGAACTTACCAGGTTCCGAGACAACATAACTGACGTAACAGCTACCATCTTTCCGGTCTTTGAAATCAATCTTGGCCCTGCTAGGTCCTTCAACCGAAATAGCTAGTGTTCCAGCTCCAGCTTCTCTGGTCCAAACGTTGAACTCACATGGTTCACCTTGCTCTCCCCTTTCCAAACCAGGACCGCCAGCATGAACCCTATGCGCTCCACTGTCTCTCAAAGGACCAACTGTGAACTGAAACGGTGATCCCGGGATGTGCATTTCCTTGTATCTGACAGATACCGTATGCACTCCGAGTTCTTTAGGTACGAATGCGACTGCATATAAACCATCTTCGACTTCTTTAACTTCTGCGTCTTCGGTCACGCCTCCCGGCGAAGTGACCGTGGCGGCGAGATCGAAAGACGTAATTCCAGGCATTTTGAATGTCAGCTTACACTGGCTACCCACTTCCGTAATCGGAACAGCCTCTCTTTGTCTTTGAATCTTCTCCCTTTGACGATTGCTACCCTCTCCTGAGACCTTCACGGTGAATGGTGATCCTTCCACGTGATGGTCGGCGTACTTCAGATTCATAATGTAGTAACCTGGTTCCGTGGGTTTGTAAAAAATGTTCAATGTACCGTCCTCGTTGTCTTTGCATTGGATTTCTGCTTTACTTGGACCTTCGATCGACAACGATAGACCACCGAAACCAGCATTTCTCGTATCGATCAGAAAACTGTTTTCAACTTGAGTTTTGCCTTCTTTCAATCCCTGGCCGGATACTTTCACCTTCTTCGCATCACCAACTTCCCGATCCGATACGTTTATTTTAAACGGCGAATTCGGTATATGGTTCCCCATCTTTTTAACGGCGACCGTGTGCTCACCGGATTCACGGGGTGTGAAAGAAACGCACATGTTACCGTTGGGGGACATTTTCAAGAAGCAAGGCTCTTCCAGACCACTCGGCGCTGTGATAGACGCATTCAACGATTTTATATCGGAATCCGTAACTTTTCCAGGTAACTGAACCTCACTGGATGCACCGACAGAGATTTGATTCCGTTTGCGTCCCTCGCCTGAAAAAGGTACATAGAATTTTTTACTAACTTATTCTGATTGACCTTTTGAGCGCTACAAGCAGTTGTCAATCAAGCCAGCCGTACAGAGACTTCTCATGTAATATGTTATAAGCGTCCAAATTAAACCATTAAATGACCATTTGATTGCACGTGTTTGGAATTAATATGAGAAAAATGACTTTACAAGTCAAATCTCTTTACATTTAAACAGCGCTACTTATAAGAAAAATCAATTATTCTGCAAGCGATTTAAGATACAAGAATTCGTTTTCCGGATTGACGACATTGCATACTAACGCTCGTTTATCACTTTGAAAATGTTGTGTGAATAGGAGAGAGCCATTTTTAGCGGAAAAGGGCAAAGTAAAGCTCCTGCCTAGGTATGCGTGATACAACCAGCTTCTGTGTTTAAAAATAGAATTAAGATTACATTCTTTAAAAATAGAAGTCAGGTTTTAGTGACAAGAGATAGAGGAATGTGCTGAAATAACACTAATACTAATTAAAGCAGGCACCTTAATGGACTCGTATATAGTGATCGAACAGTAAAGCGATAAAGTTATTTATTGCTTATTTGAAGTATCATTAATTTCGATATTAATGAAATTTTTTAGCAACAATTCTTACACACATGCTAATCACATATGAAAGAGAAAATGCATGGTTGCCAATGCGAAAATCACACTTAATCAAGTTCAGTGATTTTGAATACTCAAATCAGTATAATGCTGTGAACAGTATTTTCAGTTTTTCATACACAATACAGTATTATTGATTAGAGTAGGTTCGACCAAGTTAAAAAAAAATATTGTGCAAAGCATTATACTGATTTGAGTAGGTTAAAGCTAGTTAAAAAACAAAAGATCAGCGGCGTATACGTATATGTATACAGAGTGTAACAAATATGTTGGAGGACCCGGAAATGGGAGACTCGTGAGGTGATTTGATACAAGTTTTTCCTTAACAAAAACGTTATCTGAGGTTTTGTTAACGAGATATTAACGAAAAACCCCGACCAATCAGAACGCGCGTCTGCCGACCGAATTCCCGCGGTAACATTGGCTACGCGCTGCGATTGGTAATCTAGAAACGAAATTAATGATTTAATCGGTGTTCGTGAAAAAAACTCGGTATTATGGAATACAAAAGATACAAAACATCGCAACGCAGAGAGAGTTAAGAAAAGCCAAACCGTTACTGTACGGAAAAAATACAGTCTAAACAGTGATTGTTCATGCACAAACTCCTATTCACAGACAAAAAAAATTTCATTTTAATGAACCTATTGCTACAAGGAAAAAGAATGAAAATATGCTTCAATAACATATTTAAGCAAAGAGAAAGTGCATTGTTCGGTTGATCAGTGAGACGGCACAAAGGCAAGAGAGCATTTCGTAATATTTTTGTATCCGTGACAAAAAGATAATAGATCCGTTGAGACTTAAACCCGGGTCAAAAAAGTCGTTGACCACTATGCTGTCGCGGCGTGCCTCTCCGCCGATGTGCTATTGACAAAGAATAACACTTACTAGTACTTAACCACATAGGCGGTTTTCACAAAATTTAACCCCTATTTTCTCAACAAGAATGACCATCTGCGGCTAATGTTCTATCAATGTTTTTCGTACATGCATACCTACAACCCTGCACAAGCTCATTGAAATCAGCAGTGGACAGACCTCAGTCTCCCCTTGTTAGTTTGGCGTGTAGAATTCACCCTGTGAAAGTGTCCCACATGTTTATTAACACCGTGTGTATCAATAATATTTTGTTAAGTGGATGCTTGGTGTTAAAAAGTAACATATTCGGGTTTCATAATATATTTAGTGACACAAGCGTTCAGCACAATATTTCACAACCAATTGGCGTTAAATTGTTTGAGTGATTAGTGAATGGGTAATGAAAAACGAAAAAGTGACGAATTAATTTACATGTTATTGTTGAAATTGTCTTATTAATAAGGCAACATAGAAATTAATTATGTTCTTTACGTACTAATTTGTTACGTACAAATCAAATGAGATCTAAGAAACGATGTACTGGATAAGTTAGTGAAAAATATCTGTGCAAATAAATTAATGTACCCGTGATCTTTGCAACATATGGGCTTCCCTTTATGTCTTTATCTCCGAATTTCACACTTATTTTGTATTCTCCCGGGGCGGTCGGAAGATATGATACAGAAACTGTCCCATCCTTATTGTCATGGCAAGATATTTCTGTTTTACTTGGCCCTTCAACAGCCAATGAAAGGCCACCTGCTCCAGCACCTTTCGTCGAAATCACAAAATTTCCAGGTTCACCGCACACGCCGTACACTAACCCTGGTCCGTAAGCCGTCACGTAACCACTTCCAATAGAATCCACATGGAATTTAAACGGTGAACCTAACAAAGAATTAAATAACGAGACATGAGGAACTTTTGTTATATCATAATTATATGTCTTATCTACTGGTATAATTATTAAGATTTGTAACAATCCCAAAGCACCTAATGTGACATGAAAAAGGTAAAAATAAATTTAACCATCTGAATTTAAAGCAGCGAATAAAATACACGAGTTTATTCACCTACTTCCTGAAAATTATTATCGAAACTATAAATAACGTAACCGTCTAGACTCTAGCGTGTGACTCACTTTCAAGGCTCAAGATAACAGATCAAATAATTACTACTCATTTTTGGAACGAGCGACCATAGTATTTTCTCTGAACATTCTAAACAGGTTTTGGCAACTGTGATCGTTTCACTATTTATTAGACATTCATAAAATATATCGTGTTGTAAATCACGATTTTACGATTTTTTTTTTGTAATTCCATAGAGAAAAGTTTCAGTTTTCAAGTTTGACGGTGGATAATAAAATTCTAGTTTTAAGTGAACACATTTTTTATTCTATTAATAGATCAAACGTTACGTAAGTTAAATATGCTTCTCATAAGTTTATAGCAAATGACATTAACATTAATCCTGTCCTAAATAGAATACGCTAAACTTTTGTAAGTGTACCAATTTATTTTACTTTTCAAACAAATGAAAAGGAATACTACAAGTATAGCTTTCCAATCGACCTGTAAGCACCTACAAAAATTTCTTTATCCTGTCTGTGATGAAGTGTATTTATTCAAATTACATACAGGCTCATTGAGTCTGTACTGTACCTACTACTATTTTCATAATCGTCATTTTTTCAAATTACTTATTTAAATATTATTTATTGTATCTATGAAGTTTCTTCAGAATTCCGTACCCTGTATTTGTGACTTAACGTTATAACTAATGTTATTGAAGAGGTTAAAAGAACTAACAAACCTTGAACATGAACGCCATTAAATTTTACAATGACTTCGTGCTGTCCTTCCTCTTTTGGGTCATATCTAATAGAAACCGTTCCATCGTGATTATCTTCGATTATTGGCTTATCCATGTTCCCGCTCGGCATTTTTACTTCGGCTGAAATATGAAAAATCCGTAATTAAGCGAAATTACATACATTAATTAAATGACGCCTGAATGTGTTTGAACCATGTACCTATGGTAAATATCTCATCAACATGATTAAATCCTGACATTTCTATTTACAGATCTTAGAACTTTGACCGGCTGAGAATATAAAACACGTGTGTATAACTCATATTAAATATTTCCTTTTAACGATTAAAAATTATAATTTTAATTGTTTAGTATCAGTATGAAAGTGGAAAACATTAAACGGCAAACTGCGTAATCCAACTAATGTAATATGTAACTTCAACAATATTTATTAGAGAAAATTATAAACAACAGAACAGTATAGAATTCTTTTTAAAAAAATCAATTAACACTGTAATCGAATAATTCGCTAAGTTTGCCACCATAGAGTATTTCAACATACGCTCTGCAGCATGATTAAAGAATCGTTAAATTTTCACCGAAAAATTATCGATCTTTGAACTGTTATAACTTAATTATATTTAACAATAATAATTATTATTGTTTGATTTCTTTTCACAAAGTTATAATAGTTCGGAGATTGACAATTTTTCGGTGAAAATTGGGTGATTCTTTAATTTTGCTACAGTGTGTAATCGGTACAATTAGTGTTTGAAAGAAATGCAATACATAACAACGAACGGGTTAAATATTGATTAGATATAGGTTCGTAAACTCTGAAACCTTTTTTCGTTTGTACGTAGAAAAGACTCTGAAATATTAATGGAGCAAAATCGAGTCCTGGTGGCGTTTCCTCGTTCTCTGGACTAATCTTGGCGTAACAAATCGGTCCACGCACAGCGCAATCGTACGGACTGCACGTAACAGTCTTCAATCCGTGTCTGTAAAAGGTCGACACCTCCTGCCACGTGGTTTCTACTTCTTCTTCCTCCCAAACCATTTCCAAACGTTTAACTCGTTTGATGCACTGATATCAATAACATTAAATGCTCATTCATAAAATGAGTTGAGAATTTCATTTTATGTTTAACTTTACAGTCTATTACAGACTAAATCAGCCCATTTACGAAATTCGTCATAATTATTAGATATAACTTAAAATGTCCAACCGACAACAAGGCACAATGTATAAATATGGGTTATTTCACGCAAAATTGATCACTTTTTGCACTCGATGCCAGAGATTTTGTTGAAAATGAAATATATTGTACTCCACGTGGAATTAGGGGGTGGGAGTTAAGTCATAATTTTGCCGGTATCGCATTTATTTTAAAAATACAGGCCGTCAAAGTTTGCACGTTTTCATGAAACCAGTGTGTACTTATGAATTTTTATCACAGAAATTATTTATCATATTCAGTTCATTATTCGAATAAATTATTGTTTAAATTGAAAAATCATTTGCATAACATGTAAAATTGTAAACAATGTTTTCTTTCACAAATCTGACCAAGAGTGGCGGGAGTCTACAAATTTGAAAAAAATATGTTCATATTTCTTCAAATCTTACCTCGAAGATATGCTGCTATTGAAAATGTAGATATTAACATTAACTCCACAATGAGCTATTAAAGACAGTGGTGCACCCCGTTTCAGGTAAGCGCAGTTGCACCTCGTACTAAATGAGGTCTAAAAACAATATGGACAGGTCTTGTACCCGTCTCGGTGGTGTCATTGATATGGTCCTGGTGGAGAGTCTGTTTGACCTTTTTTATATGAATTTAAGGGGTTGTGCTAATGTAAACGCTTCGAAACATAAGGTACCTAAAGGAATTTTGTTTAGGTAAATGAAAAAATGAATGGAAAATCGGATTAAAGACCTTTATTATGCATGTCTTTTCATACACGAAATGATCTTTTTTTATTTTTTTGTTCAAAAATGGTGTTGTTAGAGTTCTGCAAATGTAGTCTGAAGAACTTCGAGGCTTGCAGCACAGGTACCGTACACTTTCACCTAGGACAACAAACAAAATTTGTTCATAATCTACGTTAGATTTGCTAGGAAGTCACAAAGAAGTACACTTGATTTTTGCGACAGGTTAAAAACTTTTTTTGTTGTAAACAACTTTTCAATGAATTTTTTTAGGTATAAAAGAAATTTGGTTAGAATGTTTACCATTTCGATAAAAATCAATATTTTAACATAAACATGTGTACTTTTCTAGTAAATCTGATATAGATTATGAAAAAGTTTCGTTTGTTGTCCTAAGTAAAAGTGTATGGTATTTGTGATGCAAGCACCATTTTTGAACAAAAAAATTAAAAAATTATTTTGTCTAACCTCCTAGCATATTTCATTTTGAACAAAATCTCTGACATCCGAGTACAAAAAGTGATCATCGATTTCGCGTGGAATGACCCATATGCATTTTGAGTTGATGTATATTACGACAAATTCCTCCTTACTTGAAGACAATCTTAAACAATCAAACGATTTATTATCCCAGGACACGTTAATCGACAGTGAAAAGTTAATGTAGAAGTTTGGAAAACTTTTTGAGAACTACAGAAGTCGAGAAGTTAAATAAGAAATTTCGAATAGATGATACGTAACGAAAAAATATATGACATTATCTCGAACTATGAGCAAGCGCAATGCTTTTTTTTTACATGTGCCAACATATTGGAATTTACTTGTCAGAAACATTTATTGGGCGATAAACAAAGAACACGTGGAAAAGAAATGGTGCGTCAAAAATGTCCGCTATTCCAAGAATAACTTCTTCGACGCAATGCGCCTCAATAGGGGGCGATCTAAAGACCATCATCTTCTCGAATTTCTACCACAATATCTACCTTAACAAATCGATGAAAAACAGTGTCATGTTTCCACGATGTAAAAAAAAATCTTTTAGTGCCGATATAGAATCAGTTTCATTTGAAACGAATTTTTTGCTCTACTAATAAGCATGTTTCACCAGATCATCAAAAGAAATTCAATCCACCGAAAGTACCCAAGAGCCAATTTTATGTCAACAGTATTAAAATCTGATGAATAACGCAGAAGCCGCAGCAACATGCCAGTGTAAACAGTTTCCAAGAATGCCGCCATAGGTGTTAAATAAAGATTAAGTGCGCGGATAGGAAAAAAAAAATATTGGGTCACGATGCACGAACACTGTCACCTATAACTCGATCACAAACGATTAATAGTGAGAACATCATTTGAATATGCGAAACTATTTCATCAATAAAAATATCATATGAATCATGACAAACGAATAACAGTGAAGGAATTCATATGTGAAAGGATTAGAAAATATAACAGATCCCTTGATGTTTAACCATCGATTCGTTTAATTGAAGGAGTAATATGTCTTTTCATTTCCAATTTTTACTTCAATTATTCTGTGCTCTTTTTTTTTGTGATGTCATAGTCATTTAAAATTAATCGAACGATATCAAAGGAAAAGCGGTAATGGCAAAAGTAGCGCATAAAAGAACATTACTGTGAGATAGACACTTCTTCAGGTTGCAAACCAAAGGAAAACTCAAAACTGTACAGGTTTACAAAAACCAAAGGCAGAATTTTCCCATTGTGGGATGTTCCGTAGGTTAGGTAACTTATAGTGGTCTTGAAAGAGTGGTTAAAACAGAAGCGACTACAGACACTGTGCGTAGAAACATGACTGTCATTTGTAAAACTTCCATGTAAGAGTAAACAAAGCCTGTACGCGTTGTCAAACAGAATGAACTGTTTTTTTTTTTTTAAGAGAAAACAAACGGCAAAAGCACGGATCTGAATCGCGACAGGAGAAAGACCGACCGAACGAATTACACCGTAAGAAATCTTCCTAGATTTCTTCTTCTCTTTATGAATTTGTCACAGGAGCGCAGTTGCGTACAACACGAGAAGGCGTTTTCGAAGACTCCTTCAGCTGGATCGCAGCGTCAATAGACTTCTCGAGGATACATCTCTAGCGCGACTGACGATCAAGCGGGCAAGAGAATTACTAGCGACGGAATCATGCCAGCCCGGAAGACCCTTTTTCCAGAATATCTACCGCCAGACTTTATATCACGCAATGGTCGTTTCGGATCTAATAAATCTAACTATTTCTATCATACCGACTAACTTACACTTTTAACAACGATTCAGATCGTCGCATAATTACAGACACTCTTAACCGTAATGAATCATTTCCAACCGAGATGAACGAACCCACGTTGCACCTGCTGCTCACAGATCTGCCGCAATTTTCTAAATTATACAAATCTCTCGAATCATCTCAGAGTTAGGCAAAATTTTGTACTAAATAAAAATGTCGAAAAACGAATAAAAGATCAGAAAAAAAAAATGTTATTCGTTATTCGAAGTTCGAATAAAAAAAGTATATTCGACGAGCGTCAAATGAATAAATTTATTCGATAAGAATTGCCCGATGAATAGAAGATACCCTTTTTATTTCAAGTGTTTCATTCGTAGCATCAAATAAAATTTTCATTTATTCGGAGGCTTCGAATAAACCTTCGAATAACTTTGGCCACTTGGAATAAACGCGCTGCCGAGTCCTATATGCATAGACACATGCTATAGCAGTCAGATATGTTTAGCGTACTATCATCGGTATCTATTCCACGTATAAGTAACTGACAGTCAGCAGATACATCTGCTAGTAGCATTCAAAGCTCACGTGCCATACAAAGCATCAAATTGCATTTCCTTCAAAATATTTTCCGTCCTTGTCGATTTTATTACGAATTACATTCCATCCAGAATATATTTGAAGAATATTCGTTAAATGGAGTCGTTAAATGGAGAACACCTTGAGGACCGAACTTTATACAGCTAACTCTTTTTTCACACGATTTCGAAATAACACAGTCGAAGAAAAAAACCGCTTTACTTCTTTTTGCACAGTTCAAGAAAAAACCGTCTTTTTTTATACATGTTATTCCCTCTAACACGCTAGAAAAATTATCGTCAATGTGAGCAAATGAAACAAATGGAAGATCATAGTTTGCGAAAAGTAACTTATTCGACTTCCTCTAGGGGGAAAAGTGGTGTAGGGATAAGGGCCTCCTATCATTTGATAAATTTATTTCAAGTACCGAAATAAATGTTAAATTTTTCCCTACGTTACTTTTTCCCCTAATGGAAGACGAGTTTTCTCGTGAGTATACATTCAAAATATCTTCCCTAAAAACAAAATAATCCAACATCATATAAAAAACTAATATATTTTCTTACCTATGATAGACTGTTCTATAATATATGGAGAAAAAAGATCTGCGGCTTCGAAAGAAAACAGTTTGGGAAAATTTTCATCGTGCACCTTCTATATAATGAAAATTGCAGATTCAGTGAAATTATTCCTCATTCGCGTTTCACACATTTGGTCGTAGACAGGATGTACGAATGAACAAGTGCGACAGGTTCGCATTTTACGCGCGTGCTGGTCGCTCTGCTACCACACCAAAAATATAGTCAAGCTGGATGAGGGAGAAGGCGGTGAGAGAAGCAAGGAAAGAAAGATATGCGAACGGTTATGTGGCGGAAGCACGGCTGTGATATTAATATTGGATGATTAAATGGCTCCGGATGTGCGGATTCGTCATTGGCCCAAAAATCGTAACCTGAATCTCAAAATCGCTGACCAAGAAATGATGGGAAATATCGGTTTCCCTTTTCTACTGTATCCTCCTCAGCAATTAAGAAACTTACAGTGACAAATAATGATAACTGTGAAGTTATGTGAAAATAATGATTCCTACATAACACACATATTTCTTGGACACTATAATAGTCGATTCAAAGTTCTAAAATCATTAGATCTATAATAATTGCGATACACATGCGGTTTGTAGTTTCGACAAAATTTTTTAATTAATCGTATGTTCGATTAATTAATATTTTCCTGCTTAATACAGGGTATATAGATTTAAATGAAAATCAGTCTGACTTGAATACGCCATTTGTAGATTCTTCTTTAATACTTACGCGTACAAAATTAGTTCGTTATTTTTTAACTGTAATAATTGAAAAATCTTTAGAAAAGTCAAATTATAATATTATTATGGAGTAATATTTAAAATCAGTGGCTTTGATACTAGAATATCACTGAAGAATTTAATAATGTATGATACACATGCAACAGATCGTTTCGACAGGACCATTTTTCTCCTTAACAATTTGTATAAAGTTACATTATGTGTAGGAACAATATAAACAGTTACGTCCACTTTGACGGAAACAAATTATTTTCGGAACTTTATTGTCACACTTCGTAATTTAACGTGGGTATTGAAACAAATACCAGAAAGTCAGTGTCAGAAATGTCACGATCAACGCATACAACACTGGAATACTATACGTGTGTACAGTCTCACTGGAACTACCTTGAAAACGATAGCCACACATCTGTTTAATTTTCAAAAGAAAATTTTTAAATTCTCGTAGCTTTATTATCACACCTCCTACGTGCCCATACATAATAAGGAGATTAAATCAACATCATGCAGTCTTGTTTATATAAAAAATCCACAAAGGTGAAAAGTTGTGTCAAAATTGTTACCTTACCCTTGTAAAAGTGATTGTTCTACTAATTATCCGAACGTTTTCGTATTCTTATTTATACTGACAATTGCAACATGTTCGTTTCGTTGATACCTATACTTCTGCAACATTTTAAGAGCTTCAAACTTGCACGAATAATGTAACGTTACCTAGATTCATCGAATCTCGCTTGTTTGTAATTAGTCAAAAGAAGCGAGTTTAATTTCTCGTATTAACCATATTACCCTTGGCACGCGTTTAATGTGTACGAGTGAACTGATCCGTTTGCTCGACGACTTCCTGTGTGAAGTGAAAACAGCGACACGAGTGGAAGAGAAGCCAGGATGTCACGCGCCAAATTCCTCTCTTTTCTATCTTAAGAATTCCAGGTTTTCTTGTACACGATAACGAATTACATAACTTTGCATGTAAATGACCGGACCAGATTAAAAATATAAAAATAATTTTTTACTTCGTCCGTACGAGACATGGAATGATTCCGAACAAGTTGTCTCTTTATTACTTTACTCTTCATTGTAAATACCAATTGTTGCAGTAATATAGTATGTTTTCACGATAATTATAAGCATGAATGAAACATAATTTTTACATGTAGAACTTAATAAAAATTTGTAATACAGAAAATTGTGTGGCAAAGGATGAGGTGCCTTTATCGCATAAAATAATTTCTTGCATGACTTATGGAATGAGTAGATTCCTATTGCACAGATATAGTGGCTGTTATAATCTGGGACACAAATTAAATTTTCATGTAAGGAATATACAAAACGTAATGACCTAAATCTATTATCTTTAATAACCATAAAAATGATCAAAGGCGAAAAAAGTGGTTGAAGTAAATACGTTTCAGATTTGTAAGATTAGAAACGTATAAATACTTGTTTGAACTAAAAATATGGGATGCTAAATTGAAACGGATTTGTATGTCTCATTAACTTCAAATTTATTAACACTTGCGATGCCAGGAACCAATTACATTTATAATGTTATTACATATTAAGTGGATATTTCATGTCCACAAGAAAGAAAGAAGATATAGGTACATCACAGGTTTAGACCTATACGGGAATGATATAAGTAAAAAGGGGATAAAAGAGACTAAATATGTATAGTTTCAAAACATACAAATCTAATCTACGTTTGGACAAATATTTTGTATAAACCGAAACTGTTAACTGAAACTCATATACCATTAAAAAAAAGGTAGTTTGGTCTCATTTTACTTATAAAAATCTCACCAATATGTTAGTAAAAGTTTCATTTTCAAGGAGCCAGAAATAAAAAAGTTTCATTATTTCATACACAGTGTCTCACTGATACCAGAGCATTTAATCTGTTTTGTCTCGTAAACGGGAACTGGTCCCACCCCCTCAACTCTCGCGATATAACTTCGATATTACTAATAACATTTATAGCGAAATATTCAATGTAGTAACAAGACAATTCACTTAGACTAAATACTGTTCTTGAGTGATTGAACACCTAATATTTATTGCATACAGTAAATGCTATAGACGTAAAAGTTAGAATATATGAGGAATGCTTTTAATTTCAATTCGTATTATTGTGATATATTTGTTTGGAGAGAGCTAGAAGAGGCAAAACGTCTGTTCATACCTACATATAATTTTGAAACATACCTGTTACGGTACCAGCTGATGACAGTAGTCGGATTTTATTCAGACAAATTTCGTTGAACTTCTGCTTTGTTGTATTAGTTGAAGTCTCTGATATATTTGCACTCTGTTGTTCAATCACACGCTGCTCCTGCTTTTCACGGGACCTTTTCGTTCTTTGCGTTTTATCTGTGCTATGCTCTCGATACTCCTCGGAGGCCTGCAACATGATTTTAATAGAAGTTTTTAGTAAGAGGAAAATGTTTATTCACGCAGCGTATTACGATGTGCACATTATGAAGTAGAATAAACGCACGTTTCTTCTACAAATGTTTTCCAATAAATTCTTTATTGCGATGTAATTGTTCTTAAGTATAATTCAACGTAAATCTTCCGTAAAATAGTTTAAATTATAAAAAGAATATAAATTCGCAATTATTATACATTTGTGCGATTTATTCACTACCTACTTATTAAATGAAAAAAAAAATGCACTGAAATGTATGAATTGCTAGTGCAGTAGAATGTAAATTTTGATTAACAGTGTTCGTCTGTATGGGCGATACAAGCCCCGATATCTCTGGAATCAAGTAATGGTGTATGTTACAGCTCATTAGATGGAATCTACGTATTTTGAAGCTGGTAACTAGCCAAAGCGTATTGCGCGTAAGGAATTTATTATGTAACTCCCACAAGATTATTGCAAAACGCGTGTCATGTGAAACATTTACAACTTACGGTTTAGTAAACAAATTTCATCGTAACGCTTGTCAGATTCTTTAGTATACGACGATAATAATAGAAACAGTATTAAAATGTCTTTACGTTGGTATTAGAATTATTGTTCCATATCATTAAAAAAAAATACACTCACTCCACTGCTGAGTAGATTTTTTACGTCCCTTCAGTCTATACATGGCTTTTGTCACATGCTTCGAAAGTATCTTATTTTATAGATGTCTTTTTATTTTATTGTATTTCGTGTTTTATTATACTTAAATGTTATTAAAAAAAATTACGTTTATGGTTGAAATTTAAAGTTTGTTCTAAAAACATCTCAATATAGTATTTCAGAATATTTTTTAAACAATTATATATTATTTTGAATGATTAGTATTGCTGGAACGATGGATGATCAATACAAAGAACATTGTCTAAAAATTAAATTTTAGGAAATTTATTTTCATTATTATTAAGGAAACTAGCAGTGTCCTGTCAATATTTCCGCGCGGTAGTATCAGCATATTTAAGATTACTAAATGCTTAGCGTATGCATAAATGAAAACATTATAAAAAAACAATAAAATATTGAATTAAATTTTGAGTAATTTTATAGGATACGTCCGTAAGTTAAGGAATCTATCTTAATATCTGGGAAGAAAGAAAGAACTTCTTTCTTAATTGAACGTAACTACAATTTCTCACATACATAGTGAATTAGGTTGATATATATGTATTGAGCATAGATGTTGGCAACGTGATTAATTGTTAGTCTTGTATATTTGTGTCATGCATGTTATTAAATGCACACATATTATAGAATACAGAATTATAGCTCTCCCTTATTTCCAAATTTATACTATATGCACTTGTTGCCCCCCCCCCCCCTCCAAAAAAAAAACAAATTATAATTCTGATATTGCAATAAGTGTCACCATTGAGATACGTCACCAATAGTTAAATTTTCCAAAGTCTTTTGTACGTAATATTACAATTATATTATACTTTTCTATACTCGGTGCGTACCTGAACTTGCACTTTAGAATATCGGAGAGCAATAGACAACAGCAGCAACCAGTCAAGACGGTGGTCGTCACGAAACTCGTGGTAACTGACGGTAATTTTGGGCACAATGCTGAATTCGATGTTACCACAATAGCTGACGAACCCCCACTCATCTACTTTATAAAAGATTTTTCGATGGTAACACGTATATAACTGTTCAATATAATATATTAATTGATTAATTTCAAAATTTCGCTTTGTTTGCAATTCTCACGGGGCTTAGGATTTCAACAACCCTGGCTTAAACATGACGGGGTGTACCTAAAACGATTGGCAATTGTAACAATAGGTAACGTAATCCCCATAGAAAAATAAAAGCACTGCACTGGTGCTTTCTTCGATAGAGTGTCTAGAACTTTATGGTCCCTAGATAACAAAACTGATAATGCAAACCATATTCAATTACATGTAATAGCAAAGCCTACAGAAACTTATGATCATTTTTAAAGTATATTTTTTTATAGTATCTATTCGAATTATAAAAATATAGTATAACATACACAGAAATTAAAAATTAAAAATTGAATATTATCATTATACGTCATTGAACGAAATTCTATCAGAGCCTATTACTGTCTGAATATTTATGTACCACTTGATTCGTGCGATTTAATGTAGTTGCCAACACCGGTTCAAATTGCTGAAATTCTTAAATACTGACTTTAAACAATCCAACCGTAATTAATTTCTTTAGTCGCATGAATTTTGGACACTTACGATGGAAAGTAATGTAAAAAAACATTATTCGTCGAAATTATTTAAATTTCATTACATATCTAATCAGTTAATTAACTCAGGGGTTCACTTTTAATTTTAACCACATGTACTGTGTATGTCATTTAACTTAAAATAGTAATTAGTACCACAACTATCAGCATACTATATTATTTGTATTTCCAGCTGGTATTTCCAATAAATTATTTATAGGAAGATTTAATTACTCCTGAGTGCGAAAATCAACTTTGAATGTACAAATTCCATACAATAACGAGTTCAATGGATTGTACACATAATCTTGATAATAGCGTATTTCGTTCCATTGCTTTTTTTACAACTTGTGACATACAGAACTTGTAAATCACATGTGAGGAATGAAGGTCTCTGCTTTGATCGAGTAACGTATGTAGTATGTATGTCACACTGCTTTGGGACACAAAAAAGAAAAGCTCCCTCGATGCGGTAGATTAAACTGATTAACTGGCCACGACATGCTATTTGGTCTATTTCACGAAAGAAGAGCCCTGAGGGGTTTTCGTGCCTCAACGCGTGGCCTGGTGGGGATCCAACGCGAGCTGCGTATTTCATGTGACGCTATGACGTTTTCAATGCCACTGTGTGTCTTTTTTCGTTCTTCTGCAGGACAGTCTCTCATTCAGTGGCTCGATAAACCAATTTCTCTTTTTTGTATAGCATACAAAATTTCAAAATGGCATTTGAACACAAATTCAACAATTGTTTAAAAAATATAGAATTTTTATTTCAGACATTATCTATTGTATCGTATTCGTTCTTCGATCATTTATGTTAAAAAATCATTTTTATAACATGAAAGATTAAAAATAAATTTTTCTTGTGCTAATTTCACTCGGAGTGTCAGGGTTAAAGAACTTGAAAAAAATATGATCGTATTCTTTGAAATGTTACCTAAAGGTATGGTAAATTTGACAACGGGACTGTAAAAATTACCTTTGCAATGAACAGTTAATGACGGTGATGCATTCCGTTTCAGGTACTTCAGCGAACTGCGCGCTCGACAATTACAGTCGGCCGATTGTACCACTCTATCTCATATTGTGTACTTCAATGAGATCGAAAAACAATATTGCCAGTCCTTGTTCCCGTCTCAGTGATGTCATTAATAAAATAAAAAAATTCTATAAAATACAATTTTTATATTATAAATGATACCATTGAGACGAGTACGAGGGCTGGCGATATTGTTTGTAGACCTCCATGAAGTAATACGGGATGAAAGGGTACGATCAGCCGATAATAATCGCCGAACATGTGGTTCAGTTACCTGAAACAGAACGCATGTACCGAGCGAATTTCCAGACGCCTCTCGATTATTATCCTGCACGATTATTGTGCAGGCGTAATCCCCTACCACTGGGGGAAGGGGGTATGGAACCTGTCAAACGCATACTTTGTTGCCGAGGCTTTGGGCAAATAATGAATGTACGACGGTCTGAAGCATTTCACCTTATAAGTTTATTGTATGTTTTTTTTTAAGCTTGCATACTTTACCCTCTTCATATTCGTTTCCTAACCCCGGTGATAATGAAATGAAAACAGGTCCTGTGAAATCGCCATATAAATATGCAGTTTTTGCGTCCAATAATCGCAATTTCCAGTGTAGCGGTACGAAGGATACCAGGCTAACAGTTGTTCAGAGACAAGAGGGCTGTGTTTAGTTACGGCGCGTACCGAACACAATAAAAATAATATAACCGTTACCGAAACAGTGAATTTCGATACGCAACGAATTGCAGCAGTCGAGGCCGCAACACTCGCAAGTGATTAATAAACACCCATTCCTTGGCTCACACCAGTTTAATTTAATAGCTAATGCTATTAATAAACGTCATGCTTGAATGCAAACTACTGGTGAATACGATTCTTCGTAGTCCCCATGCAATTGAATCCTGCTGCTACTTGAAATCCTACTTTACATTTAGTGCCAATTTTTTCGTTACAATTTTTGATTGAGAAAACCCATTTACTTTGAATAATTTTCGCATTAATCGGTATGGCAACTACTTCCCACACGACATGTTTTTCGAGTGATTGTAATTCATATTTAACAGCTATTTCCCACTTGGCCCACGATTTACTGTTTCGCGCCGTAACGTAATTTTAACATTCACGTAAATATGAACACATACATACATAAAGAGATAGTATACACCTGAACATATGTATATACGTATATATACAAATATTGACCTGATCAACAATGCAATTTACCACAAACAAATTTACAAACACTTATGTTTATAAAGTTAAATGCAGAATTTACATGTATAGGTATACATGTGTGTATTCGTATTTATCTAAATGTTAAATAAAAATATCGAACTACAACATATTTTATTCTATTCTCTGTTTCATAAATTTAAACTCACGCATGCACACCACCGACACATATGTATATGAATGTGCATACTGCATACGTACGTACGTATGTATGTATGTTTGTATGTTTTTATATATGCTGTGTTAAATAAAAATATTGAAATACAACATTTTTATTTTTATTATTTTTTAACAAATAGCGAGCAACTGCTAAAATTTTCTCAAGTTCACTGAGGAAGGTGACCTTGACAACATGTATCAAGATCAACGTTGTTGGACCTGCATCCCCTATTCTGAATATTTACCCATCTTTTTTATAACTTCAAAAACAGAACACAGTGATGAGTGCTGATATTGTAAACAAAATGCAGTAGTAACTTACTGTAAACGTGTAAAATCCACCTGGTACCGGTTGACCGCCGAATTTAATGCTAAGCGTGTAGTCGCCAGCATCCGCAACAGTGTAGTAAATGCTAACAGTCCCGTCTCCATTATCCTCGATATCGATATCTACAATTTCACTGAAAAGATATACGGAAAATGTAAGTACTTTTCTTATTTCGATCTATGAATATACAGAGTATGGTCAAATTGATGGTACAAGCCGACAGTTGGGGAAATCAAATCAGACAAAACGTAATGTGAAAATGCATAATAACACCCTAATTACGCGATTTTAATTATTAGGTTAACTAGTTACTGCAACCATTTATTTTCATATCCTAAAATATATTCAAAATATATGCAAATTAATACTTCTAGAGCTTGAAAGTCGTTTTTATACTCTAATACATTGAAAGGAATAAAAAATTTATAATTCACGACACGATGTGTGTATTCTTTATGCTCTGCCTCCTCTTTCTTCGAAGTAGCTGGAATGATCTACTTTATAATTTTTATCAAAATATAGTAAAGGCGCTATAATTGCGTGAAACTAAGACCGATTTGGACCTTTGATATACCATTCGAAAACGTGAAAAATCATAAAATCACTTACCTTCCAGAAGTGGACTTAATTCGGCAGGTTACAGCACCGTGACCCGCGTTCATAGTATCGATTGTAATACATTGTTCTTCACCCTGTGTTAATGTGCGTTGTATGCCCTTTTTTATTTTACATTCGTCAGCTTTTCCTGTTGATATACTCTGTACCAATATGGGACAGCTTGGCAGCTCCACCCCTCCGTATCGTACTTTTATTTGATAACGGCCACAATCATCGGGTAAATATCTGACTTTGTACTTCCCATCTTCAAGATCTTGAATTTCTACTTTTCGAGGTACTTGGTCTGGACCCTGAAAAGGAACGAACACCACACAAAATTCGTTAATATGCCGGTATGAATGCTTGGTATGAAATTACATAGGCCAGTAAGTTTTTGTATCGTTAGGGGTCTTTTTGTAGTTCTCGTTGTATAATACGTTAATAATACTGTTCACGTGAACGATGCGTTCGCTACCACGTGAGACAAAGAAGCTTAAGTTGGACCGGGACCTCGAGGTACCCGAGTATCTCCTCCGGGTCATTGATGATTACCTGAAGGATCGCTTCATCATTGAAACACAGGATGGCCCGAAAAGGAGGGAGCTGACGGCAGGGGCTGTCTAAGGCTGACATATTAGGACTCATTAGGAGTAATTTCAAAACTGTACCATTTCATTCTTCTTAATAGGAGCGTTTCGTTAGTTTTTAGATCGCAATAACAATATATTTGAAAATCTATATTAATTACTTACCAGAACTTGAACTTCGAGGTTACCATAACCAGCTTTAGAAGTATCCACCACGAAGTCAACTGGAAATGATGCTGTGCAAGCGGCCGCCACTCCTGGTCCAGATAAAACAACTTTATTTGGTTCCACGGTGGGTAGTACCTTTGGCTTGAAAGGACTTCCTGGTATATTTTTCCCGTCATAAGTCACTCCAACTTGTAGGTTACTTCCAATAGGTGTAGGGTGATAAGCAACTTCATATAGACCATCTCCGCGATCTTTAATTAGCGGTGTCTGAACTTGTCCTTTATCAGACTTTAATGTAATATCTAATTGGGCTGGACTGCATTTTGAAGTGTCGACCATAAATTTTGCTAGCACATTTTCTCGTACAGATTCCAATCCTGTTCCGTAGACAGTAACATTATTAGCTTCTATTTCATCCACAACTAGGATTTGGAAAGGAGACCCAGGGATGTGTTGTTCTGCAAATTTTATAGAACATTCATAATCTCCTGACTCGGTCGGAATGTATTCAACGCTGCACGAGCCATCGTAATTGTCTTTGCAAGTCATCTTTACTTCGCCGGTCCCTTCCATAGATAAAGCCAAACCACCGTTACCGGCATCTATAAGTTGATGAAATGTTAATAATTTTTAGACACACGGTGGTTATGAATTTCTTACCTTTAGTTTCTACAGTAAAAGTGTTGGATTTGTTTACTATTCCTTCTTGTAACCCTGGTCCGTAGGCTTTACAATTTCTGGGTTCGCTCATACGTTCAACATTAACTGAGAATGGTGAACCAGGAACAGGAATATTGTCGTAGAGTATGTCTATGGTATGGCATCCTTCCTCAAATGGTACATAACAAACGTAATAGGTTCCATCTTCTTGAAGAGTAACGACGCTTTGAGTTTCACCACCACTGGGATATTTTATAATATAGGAAACCTTTTTAGAGTCATTTTCAGATTTTGGCATCGCCCGAGTGTCTATTCTGAATTCTGCAGGCTGATTCACGTAAGTTCCTGAAATGGACAAAAAACAATATTTCATAACGGATATATAAGTTTATCATCAATAATATAAAAATATTAGGCATTGTAGAACAAAACCATACACAGTTCTTCAGAGTTAAGTATGCATGAGAACCATTAACAAAAAGAGAGTTAAGAAATATATACACTGGAAATAAAATAACGGTACCAATATAGTAAAATGGTAAACATATTGGAGGGCAACGACGTGAAAATGTGTGGATCAGAGCGTGTATCTGTCACTCACTTCACACACAAATATGTCGTGATGTTTCCTGCCTCGGATCCCCTCCACAGTAGCCCGCGACTGCCCGCCGCTTGCTCGTGGCGAGCAGCATGCCCGTGGGGGCGTGGTTTGCCCATCACGGGTCTAGATGACTACGAGATCGAGACTTTTCCACTAAAATAAAATTAGGGTGACTTACCCCGCGACACACAGCAGCGGATTTTACCTCCGCTCGCTCGCTAATTGTTCCCACACGAATGTCTCCTCGCCAACCTTACGCCTCCACGTAACCCAAGTGAATTCTCAGATTTTTGCGAAACGACGTGAGAATATCGGTAGCCCCTTTATCCCAATCTTTCCCCCCTCCCCCTTCCTGCCGTATATCCCGGAGTTCTGCTCCTTCGGCTCAGTGACAGCGCGTTTCGGAAGGTTCCTCAGGTCTGCGAAATTACTTCCGCCTTTTGAGGGTGCCCAGATTTCTGCCCTTCTACGTGGCGACTGCTGCATTCCTCGAGTTATCCTCCCGTCCACCCTCTTCATTGTTGGACCTTCTTCGGAGGGAGGCGACAAAGTTACCGATTCCGTCGTTCCTTCGGCAGATGTAGATTTCAATCGTGTCCCACCGGTCGACTAGGCGTCTAATGATTTTAGCTCATCAATCGAGAATCCCATACCCGTCGTTATTCCTTTTTCATTTTGAACGAAGACGCTTGCTTATCGAGCCTTTCGAGGTTTTCGTGGCGGTCCACTGAGCAGAGTTTACCTCAGCTTTGGGGAGAGGAGAGAATTTCGTCCTGATCATCTGTGTTGTCCTTCACGGTACAGTCCTGTAAGGCGCGAGTGTTTACTCGACGCGAAATACCCGCGTGATTAGTTTAAATTCAAGCGTTAATGTTTCCACGGGATTACACTGGGAGCGCGTCGGTATTTTATGCGAGTGTTTTTGCCATTAAGCTCTATTCTAATTGAAGTCTGAACTCTTGTGCAAAGAAGTAGAGGCGACAGCGGCCAGAGGGAAATGGAAAATTTGCAGTGAACCTATCCTTCTTCCTATTATCCTCTCCATCTGGACTATTCTATAGTACATTTGCGTTACTACTACGATCATATACATATACATCGAGTGTAAGGGCCAAATAGGTATGGTGTGGGTCGATTTCCGACGTTTCAGCAAGGCAGGCAATGTGGAGAAGGAACCGAATGCGGCTGGTGAGCCGCAGGTTTTACAGCTCTGATGTAAGGCATGCCAAAAGAATCACTTTGAAAGTAAACTAAAATACAACATAACCATGCAATTTCGTGCAATTTTCTTAGATATCTCGAATTCATTCAGCATTGTCTCTTGATATGAGATCGAAGGTTTTCTGATTATTATACATATATTCCCAATTTATGGGCATTGATAATCATCGAGATACCTACAATATGAGTACTATGTGTAGAGTGTTAATAAAAATCTGGGACACTTTTACAGGGTGGATTCTACACGCCGAACTGAGACGAAAAGCAAGAATGACGAAATGGCGTTCCATGCCTTGTTTCTGAGACAGTAATACGGATGGAATACTCGTAAAATATGTCTGACACGGCGGGTTATTCTACTTGAGAGGCACGTTCTTCCATTGTTTCACGTGTCGGTGTCATTCATTTGATTGTATTTCATTCTAAATTTATTCGAACGCAATTTTGTCATTCTTGATTTTCATCTTAGTTTGGCGTGTAGAATCCACCCTGTGAAAATGTCCCCCTTTTTTGTTCGCACCCGTATATTGCAATAAAAAAGAATTGGACGGACTGCATCAGTTCATTTGGAATTAGATTAACAAAAATTATTTCCTTTTTTCCTTTCATAAATAAGTTACAAATACTTTCGCGAACATAAACTTCAATTACTTTTTAATTATTTCAAATAAAAGACATTCAATAAAGTAAGTCGTATTTTGCAGTTTTATAACGTATCCCTCCAGTTTGTAATTTCCAACATATGTCTTGTCCAATTCATTAATATTGCGATACTAGTAAAACAGAGAAAACCACTCGGAAATCGTCGACCAAAAAAAAATTTCACACAATGCGAAAATAGTACCGTGTGGTTGAATGCCGTTTCCGGTGATTTTGATCTTCGATAAATCAACGTCCTTTACAACGTTCGCCTGGAAAGGGGAACCAGGGATGTGTTTGTCGTTGAATGTGATATTGATGCCGTAATCACCAATTTCTGTTGGTAGATATGCAACTGAACACGTTCCATCACCATTATCTCGACAACTAATGGCAGCTTCACAAGGACCTTCTACTGTTACGCCAAGACCTCCTTGGCCAGCTCCACGAGTATCGATGACAAATTCGGCTGGTTTATTTATTATTCCATGTGTCAGTCCACTCCCAGATGCTCGAACTTTTCCAGGGTCGGCGCCATGGACACAGGTTAGACGGTATGGTTGATTTGAAATTGGTTCTCCACCGAAACTGATACCCAAAAGGTATTCACCAAGCTCTGTCGGCGTGAAGTTCATTACGTAACCATCGTTGGTCGGTACTACGTGGGCTTTTATTCGATTTCCAGAAGGGGCTGTTATTGTCACTTGAATATCGGCTACTTTTCCCACATCCTGAGTGATCACGTGGAACTGCTGCAAGCTATTCACCGGAGCCGCTGCAGGACGGTTTTAATTTTGATACTTGTTTCTTTTTCTTCTCAACGGGTATAGCCGGATAAAGGTCCATTTATACTACGACGGGCCGAGCTCGGGACGAGCCTGCGACAAACTCGGAATGAGCTCGGTAGTACCCTTATATACATTGTTTTATTTCGAACACATGAAAGAATATTTTTTCATTGAAGGGTCGTCGAAGGCTCGTCCAGTACTCGTCCCGAGCTCTGCCTGTTCTAAACTCTGTTCAACTTAAGAATAACCTCGTTTCACGCCTGGACTGGATCTAAGGAGACTTCAGAATGTCCAAACCTCCACTGTTTTCGTTGGCGTCGGTGACGCCACACGCTTGAGCTATACCGTTAATCGGTAGGTGACCGGCAAAGATAGCGAGCTACGACCAATCGCATGCGTCAGATCGGTAGGCAACAGTGGGAGTCGTGCAGATCGGTCGAAAACTTAAGTTGGACAGAGTTTAGTACAAATTTACCTTTAAAAGGTCAAAAGTTCCCTTACACCAGCTTGGACTGGCAATGGACCATTCGTTAGTTTAAGAAAAAATAATTTGCACCAATTTGAAAAAGTAATCGACAATTTGAATTTTTGTCACTTAGATAAGTGCATTATACCATTTCAAATGTTCCTACATTCAGCAAAACGGTACATAAGTTACAGAAGGTAAATTCCTCAACTAAAATTATGCGGTGCCATTATTATTACAAAATATTTACCCTGATATTAAGAGACTTTGGGAAGGGGAGGGGGAGGGGGAGAGAAAGAGCGTGGATGACAGAGTGGAGACCTAGCAAATGTTAGCGAAAGCCAAATTTTGAGTACAGTAGTTATAAGCTACCCATTTTCTATCCTAGTAGTGTCATTCTCGATCTCGTAATAATCTAGACCTAAGAATATTGATAACGTGCTGCACACAGACTTCGCCTGCTGGGAATATGTAATTGCGTTGCACTTGGAAACTCTCCTTGAGGTTCCTTCAGAAAACAACCTATAAGATCTAACGGAGATGTCGTAACCCGGTCACATGTTAATTAATTGTAAAACTGACGATAGCTGTCGACTGAGCTATTGCATTGTTATATCATTCATGATTCATTGGACTGTTGCCCATTTGGCAGGCCCTGTTGCATTAAACTCCATCGTTAATTCTCATTGAGTTATTTTACAACTATTCCATTACTATATTATTCTATACCATTACTTATATCTTTCACTTCGGATAACTTTTTTAATATAAATATTATTAGAGAAAGTTTTGACAAATTTTTTAAATTTACATATTTGATGAAATTCTTTGTAATCATAAAAATATAAGCAGAACAGAAAATAATTTTTTACTTACTTCGAGCGAGGCCGTCGACTTTAATCTTCGAAACATCTACATGCGGTTGAACGTTGACTTTTATAGGGCAGTAGGGTACATTTAGACCTCCATACTTCAAGTTTATAAAGTAATTCCCTGGCTGTGGTGCTAAATAATGAACTGTGTATGTACCATCGTCTTTCTTCTTCAAGGAAAATAATATATCTTCTTCTTCAGAATTTACAATGCTGACATTAAGGTCGCCTGGGCCAGCTCTGCGACAGTCAATATCAAAATCCACCAGAGTATTAGACTTTATTCCTTTCTCAAGACCAGGCCCATAAGCTGATACTAAAGCAGGATTCAATGGTGTATCTACTTTCATCCTAAACGGCGAATCCTTCATGGCTACGCCACCGTAATTTACCTGAACATAAGAAAACAAAAATAATGACAACTAACTGTGATTTATTTCAACATCACTATGTGAAAATTTTAGTATCCTTGCAAGTGTGAAGTTTGTGAAGGTTCCAGGTAATAGGTGCTTGAAAAATTAAAATAATAAAATATGTATATAATTATCTGACCATAATAATATGTTGTGTTCCAGATGTTGGAGTATAATGGCATTTTAATTTTCCATCATGATTATCTTCTACTCGAACAGGAACGTCTTTCCCACACACATCTTGCACAATGACTTCTAAATTCGCTTGACCAGCTTGCTTTACGTCTACTGTAAAATTTGTTGGTTTGTCATTAGGAACGGATTCTGCTTGAACTCCCGGACCGTATACTTTCACCTGAAAATTAAACTTAATTATCGTTTTATCGTAAACTTGCATAACATCAGAAATTATAAAAATTTCAACCTTATCGGGATCGAAATTAGATTTTGGCAAAATATTCGCAACGTATGGTGAATTCGGAATATCTTCGTTTTCACATAGTATGTGAATCGCATACTGTCCTGGAGCAGTTGGTAAATAAGATACGTCTGCCGTTCCGTCCCCATGATCATAACACATAATTTTTGCTTTCGATGGGCCCTCGATCGAAAATCCAAGGCCACCAGTTTCACCATTTGTGTTTACGGTGAATTTGGCTGGGTAATCAACTACTCCGCCGTGAAGGCCAGGCCCAAAGGCTTTGATAGCTGACTCTTTATACGGTCCGACATTGACTTCGAATGGTGCCTTAGAAATGTCTCTTCCACCATAAGTTACCGTTACCACGTGTCGTCCCTCTTTAGTCGGCGTATAATTACATTTATACGTTGTTGGATCAATCTTAGTAATACTGGAAACATTGTACAATACATCATTATTTGGTAAAACATTAAAGCGACCAATTTTTCCAGAGAATTACACCGATAACACGTTTGTAAAACTTTACACAACCCGGCAAGCGCATACTTTGTTGCCCCAACGCGCTGAGGCGGCTACATTTTTATTATAAAACATATTTCATCATTATATTACATATCGTGTATGATATTCTTATCACTGCCGACTTGAGTTCCCACAATAATATAATGTATAAGATTTAAAAATAACAAAGGAGCATTTTATAACTTAATAATTACAAAAAGTACAAAATTACTTACTGTATAGGGCAGTTAACACCACCAGGAGCAATAACGTTAACTCCTGGTACTTCGTCACCTACGCCCTTCGTAATAACAGTGAATTCCGCGTTGTCACGAACGCGTACACCATTTGGTAAAATTCCTCGTCCGTATGCTTTGCACTTTTTTTTACTGTCTGTCACTGGAGATACATTAACAGAGTAAGGACTTCCAGGTATAGGTTTCCCGGCGAAAGCTACATTTATCGAATGTAAGCCAGGTAATGAGGGAGTGTATTCGCACCTCCATACATCCGACGAGGATCGAAATAATTTTGCAGGTACGTTTGTCAGTGATCCCTATAAAACAGTTCTTTCAAATATTCGTATTTTACTTATTTTAGATTGTACTTACGTAGAATTATATCGGTATACGTATAACTATAATTCATCGTCCCTAGTATATTTTTATATATATTTTATGCTTGTAAAAGCAAGAGTAATATTTCATACTAACTTTTGTATAATTTAATTTCTATTTATAGTAAAATAATTATCATGCAGGTCGTTCACTTTAACTTGAGTCTACTGTATTTCCTTTTAATTTGAATCAACTGGAACAATAATATACCTGGGGGTCTTTTATTATAACTTGTGGAGCGCTATTACCAGCATTTTTTGTGTATATTTCAAAGAATGTTGATTTGTTAACTATGGTACCATCTGGTAGTAACCCAGGCCCACTTGCTGTAATTTCTGTATGATCACTGGATTGTACTCCAACATTTACTACGTAAGGACTGGTTGAACACTCTCTTCCATCGACAAATACCCTTATTTTATGTGGTCCATGGGATTTTGGAATATAAGAAACAGAATACTTGAATTTTCCATCTTTATCAAACATAACATCAACCTGTAGAAAAGAGAGGACATCATAGACGTCCTTTTTATCATTTTCTTTTTTCGTAATATACGCATGACTATACAACTTATGTCAGACTGTAATGTAAATAAGTTTTCGAACAGGAACCAAAAAACCTTTGGGGGTGGGGGGCAAATTTGGGCCCCTTACCCTATTAACGAAACTTATATATTATGACAATAAAGTATTCCACATTAAATTATATTTATCTTACAGTATTACATAATCAGAATGTACATGTGTATATTAGAGTTAGGAAAAATTAGTCCAGAAATTATATCAAGCAAGCTAATATAAAAAGCTTTGGTTTAGATATGCATTTGGTTAAGATATTTATACCTTAAAAAATTATGCTTACCGGTATTTTGTTTTCTTTTGGATCTTCTATCACAACATCAACTTTACCCGGTGAAAGTGTTTCTACGGTAAAATTGGTACGTGTATCAATTACTGGACCTGTTGGCTCAATACCGGGCCCATAAACTTGTATTCTGTAAAAAAAACATTTCATCACAATTAAGTAATGTCATGTTTTTCAATTACACATGCAAGTATTTATATCAGATTGACACGATTTCTGCTTCTCAGAGATTTCTGGCGGAGCCTCGGCGACTCGCCTTTGTATTCTGCTGGCAACGACACACAGTGGCGAATTTCCTCGAAAAGCTAGCCAAAAGTAATATTTCCAATTTTAAGCCGAATCATTGAAGTGTTTTATTATAATATGACTCTAAGAAGATAAAAATATAACTGTTTAACGTTAAATATTTAATTTTCCGTCCTAATTAGAATTAGAATTATTACAAATATTAACATTTTTGTGATGTATTTTAATTGGCCAAATAATTACACAATCTATAATATGTACAATATTTAACATGTACATGTATATATGTATATGATACACAACTGGCAAAAATTATTGCATCGCTTGTGCACTAGTGAAAAATTGTCGAAATTCAATGTTCCATAACTCTGTAAATATTCTTAAAAATTTCTTTAACCGAAAAACCAACTCACTTCTTGGCCTTGTAACGACCACTGGCGCGTGTAAATAAAGAAAATTTGGCGTATAAACGGTTTGCGGGTTTTTTTCATTTGAAATGATACCAGGGCTTCTGACGTCCCCGAAGCTTTATTGCACTTGTATTATTTACCTTCCTGGGGTCGTTCGCTGCTTCAGTGGGGCTCCCTCTTTCAATGTTGCATGTGGGTATTGAGATAAATAAGTCATCATAGATAATTCGTCTATATTTGGGCTGATCATTTCTTCAGGTTTAATAAGCTATAACAAAATTATAATCTAAATTAAGTGCATAGTATTTGCAATCGATCAGCAAAACCGGTTGACAAAACCGATCGGTAAAACCGAACATAGTATGGAGACATGTTATCGGCACGTGCCAACAGGCGTAATGAGGACGTAGCTTAATGCTTATATTTTTTTAATGAATATTCAATTAATTCCACGATTGAAAGTAACCAAAATCGTTTACTTGGCATTGGTTTTCAGAGTATCGCAGGAGCTCGGCCGGCAGACTCACGTTCTGATTGGTCGAGGTTTTTTGACGATGCGTACAATATATTCACCTGTGGTATGTTTAGCCAATTATCAGCTAAGTCCATTGCAACAGAAGTATTTGATAAGGCATTATCGGGTTTCCAGTCTTTCCACTCTGGGCAAAGCCCAGGTGCAACAGCATCTACAAGTGCGCCAATAGTTCGCCCATCCTTCCAATTAGATGTGAAATTATTAATTGGTAAATCTGGAATTCTGGACTGGATCCAACGCAATAATCTTGTATTTGGTGCCACAGGCTTGTCGGACTCCTCTTCATCCAGCATAGGTAGCGAAATGGAATAATGCAAGATTAGTGTCCATAATAATCCAAGAATAATCGGAGCCAGTCAAGCAAATATCTAATGTGATGCCGAGGCATCCCTTTCAAGAGCCGATGGCTTTTTTGAGACGTAAGTAAAGATTAAAAGCTCGCATATCGATGAGACAACAGTAATGGACCAATGAAACTTTCTTATTCTTGGTTACCTTGTTACGAAAATTTTCTTGGAATATTACAAACGCGACAAAATTGGGATCATATAAAACTTGAATTTTTCGAAACGAAGATCTTTGTTTAAAAGTAGTTTATTTATAATGTGACTTATTAGACGGGAGTCGGTCTAAAACAGAGTCGTTACCGCTTTCGGCTTCTTAATTATGCTTGTGGGGAGAGCCGTTGCCCGACAACGACGGCCAGCTAGCAAAACAGAATTCCAATTTGAAAAACTGCCGACGCCGACATTGCATGTACATAAATGTATCTCGCTTACACTCACAATCAGTGGTGTGCGTTTTCTTTGGTATCATATGATATATCGATGCTGAAGTCCCTGTGATACGTATGCTTAAAAGGTTCGAACCTTGTCAGTAGGTATCATTCTGACATCAATTCCAGAATGGTGCCTATGAATCATGCGTGCTTGTAATACCATGATTCGTCGCCGCTAAGTATCGATACTGCTTGAGCAGGATCACGGCCCATCACTACTACATAATTAGTCTATAATATACAGTAGCACATAGAGATATTAAAATATAAATGTATACGTTTGAGACTCGTGAATTATTGGGGAACATTGTTAAACAAATTGGAAAAGATGTGAAAACCACGATTTTCGCGCGTAGAAGAAAATATAATTATTTTAGAAAAAAAAAGGTTGCAATAAAAAGTGTAGGTATTTTCAAAGTGAGTTATAGTACGTTAAAATCGGTGCACATATTAAGTTGCAAACGAATTAAAACTGTCAAAATAGGCTCTTTTTTTCAATTGTTTAATACTCAGAGAGACTTGAACATAGTGCTTTGAAACTTTAGGAGAATATGGCCTCCATTACGATTAAAAAGTGTCCCAAAATTCAGCAGTAAATATTTGCTGGGTTTTACAAAAAACCATTAATTTATCCCAAACGTGACTCCGAAAAAGTTCATTTCAGTATTAAATTTAATTTACTTTTAATTTTAGGATTAAATTTAATACTAAAAAAGTGGTTCAATGTTAAACCTTGTTTCAGATTCCTTATAATGTACGCGTAGTCGCATGGCGTAACCGGTTAGCCATCAGTGACGTCATCGTCTAAAATCGCTGTGAGATACAGTGGAGAGAAACGTCATGGACAGTCAGGTTGAAGAGAGATGCTACTGTCACCTGAATACGTGTCGATGGGTGATTGTATTTACTGTGAGTACCAGTTTGTATGCACATACCATATAAGATAGAAATGTCAAATATTCTGCTGTAATCTCTTGTATAGGAACATTCAAAACTTTGTCCACATTATCCAAATGTATGCGAATGTATCGTTTTTACATTCTATTTCACAACAAATGGTAAATGATAAATTTACTTATACAATAAATAACAATGCACTATAAACAATAAATAAACAATGTATGCAACATGCATATGTGTCAGGATAGGAACTATCTATCGCCTATCACAAAAAACTCGAGAGCCGTATCTTCGATTGGGAGATATTAAATTCTGACTTACGCTTACAATCTGTGTGTATAACACACTGCATAACAATGTCAGCAAACTTACAAAAATATCATTACCTACATACGTGTATGCCGTATGTGTTAATTTTATAAAAAATTAGGAAAAATTAGGATATGTATGTACTAAGAACCGAATCGCAGATATATTGACTGACCCGATACCGAAATGTAAATTCGCAGAATTATGAGATATGTTATCGATGAAGCCGAAGAAAAAGATAAAATAAGTCGTCTGAACACGTTGATTCAAAGTGGGAATATTGAAAATGATTCAATCGACACCATTGGTATGTGTGTGATGCGTGTGACTTTGTGATGTGTGTCGTGTTTTGTGGTTGCTTGATTTGCTAAGTGACGTACTTCCGTTTTCCTCTTTTGTTCTCTTCACGTAGTAGAAGCATTAGTTTAAAGGCTCCCACAAACCAACGCGAAATATTTGCTGCGGCAACAACAGTTTAAAATACATAGCGTCATATGAGACTTTTAACACCAATGCAAAAAATTTCCATGAAAAATTTCGCTCTACGAGACAGTTTTTTTTGCTGCTCGTTTCCTTCAATCTCTTAACTTGATTCAAACTTCAAAAAAGCAATCGGTGCCTAGGCATGATGGTGGTAGTTCTGGTGGTTCCAAATGTAGAAAAAACTGATCATCAAATAATTTTCACTAATGCTCATGGCTAGTGTTGGTCCAGATTATAAATATATACGATCGTGGAATTTTCGAGGTTTCTAACGTTGGAAAAAGATTTGAAAGAAATTTTTTAAATAGCACCAGTAGTTGGATTCACTTTTATCTGGACACTTATGCTTGTATGTTTGCTACCCACACTACCAATACAGTTAGGGAAGAGCCATAAATTCTTAAACCCTTGTGCAGACTGTTTCCAAATTTCCATTGTAGGTTCGGGCAAATATATTGTTTCAAATCATCCCAGGAACCCCTCATTTCCGGAAGTCGAAGCTATTTTGGGACACCCTGTATATTTCCTAATTTTCTGCTTATAGCTTCATAAACCTCTGTCACGATTGCACTCACTGTTGAAAATCCAATTTGAAAACTATGCTCAACTGTTTAGAAAGCATCATCGGTGGCAAGAAATCTACAAAAAAGGTATTTTTATTTCAGATGGCAGGATTAAAAGAAAATGGAAACATTTACGAGACGCAAAATATATTAGGTGTAATAAAACAAAAATTGAACAGACAGCGAATACAAGTCAAAAATGAGTATTGGCCGATCAAATGAACGTTTTTAATCATTATTTGACCTATACTGACACTTCCTCTAATATCAGCGGTATTGATAATGAAACAAATATAGAACCTGTCGCGAATGTAGAAAATCGAGATATTCCATCCGAACATTCAGTTAGTTCCCTAATACCTGAAATCTTAACACGGCGAAACACATTTAGAAAACGAAATTCGAAACCATCATCTGTAGAAGAATTGATGACATATTTTAAAAGTAGAAGAAAGAGTGAATATGATGCAATTGATCATATTTTTTAGGCTACGCAAAGATTGTGAAAACACTTTCTGGAACCAGACAAGCAATAACAAAAATGAAAATTGCTGAAGTCATCGAACTTTTGCATCAAAAGGAACTCACATCAACACGTCTATCTAACCCTGAAAGTACAATTAGACATCAGGATAATGCTGATACTTTTAATTATCTTGTATATAGATCTGAAAGTACAAGTAATTCTAGAAAGTCTACCAATTCGAATTCTGTATGTAAATCTGGTAGTGCACTAACATAAATTATCCATATATTTCTAACTTTATTGCGTCATATAATCAATAAAATTTATTGTTTTCATAACGTGTAAATATTATTTTAAAATATCTAGTTATGTATATTCTTGTATGTTTCTCTCTGCATTTAATATTTATGAGTACTAATACGTAATTATAATTACTTAAATTTTTTTACCGTAATGCAATGGCAAGTCGTTCTTCAGGTGAGATAGCTTCACGATAATTTGTATCGGGTTTTTAGTCATTTTTTGTGAATTCCAAAATTTCATCGAAACACTTAATGGTCATTCTAAAGCAAATCTAAAAGCGTTGCTCATCTTTCCGAAGTTCTGGCATTAAGGTATGGAATTCTCTATATTTTTTTCGTTCAAGGTTTATATCATGTACCCACTTTCTTCTTTTTCTAAAATAAGACGTCATGCATTTTAAACTGTTACGAATCGATTGCCGCAAAAACATTTCGCGTTGGTTTGTGGGAGCCTTAATATGTATGTACCAAAGACGTAAGTTTATTTTTGTTAATTACACTTTTATATTAAGTATCGCTAAGTGCCATCATTTCTTTAACCTCGCATCCGAAAGTAGAAACCATAAAGTCTAACGGTAACTTATTAATTATACACTGAAGTTAAAGTTCAAATATGCCTACATTATTGTCAAACTACATATGTGTGATATTGTAGAAATACGTGCAGTCTGTGGTTTGGGTACATGAAACATAATTAATCGAAGGCGGACCAGTACTTCCTGCCGCAACATTTAATTGATATACACACACATACATGTGTGAAATGCCATAACCGGAATACGTGCGGTTAAGATAAAACGACAACATTAGCCCTTAGAATTAATAGGCAATCATCTTTAGACTAAATATCGTAAAATTTTTAAACTTTGAAATTATAGAAATATTAACACTTTTTTGCTTCACGTTTAATGGCATCTCACTCACTCTTAATTGTGCTAGAATGAGAGGAACTTCAAGTGTTTACGTTAACTATCGATTAGATATGCCAAATGATTCGTATGGTCCCAAGTACAAATCGAACAGAAGACATACAGTTTTCAATTAATTTGTTCACTTCATTATGCAATCTTTCCGAAGTTTCTTCCAATCGTCAAAATTTACAAATAAATTAGAACTATTAGATTTTCTAGTACATCTAACATTTTTAGTATGTTTATGTAATTATGAAATAGAATATGTATAGATATAATGAGAAATAACAAAAACATAATTGATATCATATTGAATGCTGAAATGATTTTCTGAATGTAAATAATAGAGATATGCGAAGGAATTTGAAACCCTAAGAAAATATCGAAACACAATAACATTCTTTCATGAGATTTAAACTCGTAGTCTTGAAGTTAGCTGTCAGGACGCCAACATGAAGGTTACGTTTGATTTTAAGGGACATACGATTGTTCAAATTGTAGGGACAGCTTTCAGTTTAGAAATATTTCTTATAAGAAGTATTATCTATTAATAGCTAGTATTATAGGATTTGCTAATATTCGCTATTATTTACATACCGTCATCAGTTTCGTGTGAAAAACATTAGATCACGCCGTAACTTTCTGTTATGACTCATGACTTATGAGAAAAGAAACGGATGATACTAAAGTTTACCATTTCGTTCTTCTTTTCTAACGTTATTTTAGACGTGTTTTATTAAAATTCATTTTTAGTCAAACTAAATAGATACAATGCATCTGATTGCCTTCCATATATCCTTATATCACTTGTATTTATTAAATCGTCTGAAAAGTTCGTGCAGTTTTGTAACGTAGAATTGCGGGTCACAAATTTTAGTTTTTATTTAACTTCATTAGTAAACAATTTTTTATATTGGGTAGTTTTATTGTAACAGTTATACAGTCTTTCGTTGGTAAAAATGGTAATAAAGATATTCGTGCTTGAAACAGCACAAACTTTTCGGACAACCTAATACGTTATGAAATGCGTATACATCAATGACCTTGAAATCTTCAATCCATGAAAGTGATCTTACTTGTATTATTTGTAAATAAATCGCTATTCATTAATTATTTAATGAATTATTGAAACGTGGTGTGTGACTTCGGGTAACATTTATGTTTAAATTCATATTACTAATAGTAATAAATAAGTATTTGTCAAAGGTACATGTCTAAGTTTCCAATCAAAATTGTTACCGTGTTTAAATCAACATTAGACATACAACCTTCGAATTTGTACATTCATCCTTTCTTTTTTGAGAGGCAAAAAGAACCTTCACGATTTAACGTTAATCAAAAGAATTGCTAAAGAGGAATGTGTTACTCACCGATATTGACAATCCGTATTCCTTGATCTTCTAAAAATTTTAAAGCAACTGACACATTTTCAAGCTTCTGTGACCTGAAGGTGGGTTTCTGATTATGTCTTGGAAGTTTCTTCTGCACCAGCACTTCGATTAAATGTATCAATATAAGGCCATCCGACAAATCGCATTCTAAATCATCAATGCGTCTGTTTATAACTTTAAGTCGTTCGTTCGCCCATCGTGTAAATGTATTTCGTTGGATTAATTTCCACGGTGCATCCTCAAGTAAATCTTGGTCCCACATCTCTGCGTCCTCTTCCTCAGCGTTCTCGCACTCAACTGACTTATCGTTCTCGCACATTTTATCGGCCGCCTCACTCCTATAGAACAACATTGGCATTTGTGAGTAAAGTGGTGGTAAAATTTACTATGTGTGCGTTCACACACTCTGCGCAGTCACTCCTTCTCTGCATTCTTCATCTCATTCTTTCTTTCTCAGGTCTTCGGGAACGTCTATACCAAACTTGTTTCTATTCTCTCTCTTCCTCTCTCTCTCTCTCTCTCTCTCTCTCTCTCTCTCTCTCTCTCTCTCACTCTCTCTCTCTTTTTTTTCTTTTTGTGCATTACGAAAAGTAGCACATTTCATTTTTCTTACAAAAACCAGCACATTTGACTTCTTTCTCATGAAAAATAACACGTTTCGTTGTTCGCCGCAAAAAGCATCACATTTGGATGGTCAGCTACGAAAACTAGCACGTTTCGACTTTCGCTACGAAAACTAACACGTTCGAGTGATTTGCCACGAAAAGTAGCATGTTCCGTTTCTAGCGACGAAAAGAAGCACATTTGAATGGTTGATTAAATATTAATTTACTTTTAAATATCTCAAAGCTCTTACCAGAATTTTAATTAAATAATAGCAATAATTAGTACTTGTCAATTATGATATGCTGAAAGTAAGGTTGCAAAACAATTTTACAAGCAAATAACATCTTTTTACTGTCCTAGCCATCACAAAGTTCAGTGATACACAAGATCAACGTTTATAATTGAGTATATTCTAGATGTTTATGGTACGCAACGCGTAACACCCTCAAGTTTTGAAAAACACAAATTTACGTAAAAACGCACGATTTTTGGCAAAAATGGAATATTATGAGAGCGACACACCCTACTAAAGAATCTCCAAAAAATGGAGATACTACTTATGAGAATACGCCGCTACTGTAAAAGGATAAATATAATACAATATAAGGTGCCTTTAAAACTTCAATAAGAAAAAACCTTGTTCCGCATTTCTTAGCGTTTTTGATTGTTTCACAACTAGGATGTTGAACTAAAAAATCGCAATAAATTCTCTAACACGTGCCCGGGAAATTCGACATATCTATCAGATATTTTATAGAATTTTTGAACGTCATTAAACTAGGAAAATAAGAGGGTTGAAAATCAGCACAAACTGTCTTTTCTCAACAAGCTATCGAATGATATATCACAGGTCCAAATCGATTTAAGGGCACTTTTAACCATCTCATCCTGCTATACCCTTGTGAATGGAAGTTAAAAAGGAGACTAAAACTTTTGATACACCGTATTTCTTATTTGTTGACTTATTATAATTGAAATATTCAACTCATTCACTGATCATTTCAATCTCGGTTTTAGTTTGTAAATCTGAACATGGTCAATTTACTTGCGAACATATTCTAAATAATAAAATAAGATTATACTTGAGAAAAAATTATCAAAGTTTAACCCAAACACAAGTCAAGTAATTTTAATTAATCAACTATGCGAGTACTGAAGACTTAAATAGTACTAATAGTAATACGAATTAGGCTTGTGTTTCCGGTGTGTATGGTGCAGAGAGTCGAAAGCGAGAGTGCGAGAGATAATCAGAGATAATTTAGCATTTGAGAGGAGAGGAGGCGAAAGAAGAAGATAGGAGTATAGTGACAGTAAAGGAGTAAGTAAGAAAAGCTGGAATATAATAAGAAGAAGTGAAAGAGATGCAGGTGGAATGAAAAGGGAAGGAAAGTAGTCAGAAAAGACAGGTTAGTTTTAGGAGCGGAAAAGGTGCGGACAGGCGGGAAGAACGGAGGAGGGGGCAGTGCCATCTAGCGATAGAAGGGAGAAGGAGAGTAGGACAAGGTGCGAGGATCTCGGTAGATAAAGAAGAGTTGATAGGGGGTGGAAATGAAGAAGTTGTAAGAGCTAAAGGGCAGAAAGAAGAAGGGGAAAGGGGGAGGATGACAACGAACAGAAAAAAGAGGAGGGATCAAGGAAAGAGGTATGGAAAGTAGAATTTTGAAACATAGCAGGACTAATTGGTAAAGACTTCTGGAAAAGCTTATGTGCCTGGGAGGTGATAGTGTGGATGGAGACGTGGGTAGAATAGAAGGCATGGGAGAAAATGAAAGGAAGATTATTGATTTATTACCACGGATATAGGACGCCAATTCGAGACACAACTATTCAATGAATTATGCCGATTGCTGAGTACGAAACATATTTGTACTGTTAAGCCACTGTTTGTTTTCTAGTTCGGGATTCCGGCCAGAGGTCTTGTTGAAGGAATTGAACAAATGTTTGACTACTAACTAATACTTTATTAATTATTACTTGATACATATTGGTCGACAGCGCAAGTGGAACAACGACCTGCGCTAAGATACATCCCCTTATATTAAGTCTCTAGAACTGACTTTAGCCAGTTCTTATCACCGTGACTGTCCTTTACATCCTTCAGGCACTTCGATGAAAAGCGAATGAGCTGCACCCGCTCTATGTACATCAGCACATTCCTGAGGACATCTCCGGATGCAACGGGATCCGCATAACAGTACGACGGTCTAGCATCCGCATCCATCAAATGCCACGATACAACTAATTGGATGGACATTTTACCCATTGTTTTAGTGGGCATTCGAACGGCCATCAAGGACCACTTGAAGTTGGTCTACAGGACAGATATGTTTACCTGTGGATTTCTTCGTCTCCAGCAATTGCGAGGCAAATTCCGACTACGTTGCACGTCTGAGAAGGCGTGTAAACGACATTCAACATAGTTTGTAATATGTACATAAAAAATATGTACATATATGTTTTTTGTTAATTAAGTACAAGCGAACCGGTAAAAAAATGACTACCCTTTCCTTTGCCAGTTGCGTTATCACTGGTAAGGATGTACTGTAGCGTACACAGCCAGGTATTTGGCCGTGGAGCGTCCGTGCACGGCTGGTAGCCATTTTAGCCCTACACAAACGACAGACGAACTCCTTACTCACGCAAAACACGAAATCGACACAAATCCAGGCAACTATATACTAAACTACAGTCAATCTAAATCCTTTTTTGAATATACACTAGGGAATTCTAACACATACGAAATAGCAACCGAATATACTGATAACATGGCGGAGCTCGTCAAAATAATGAGGACGATCTATCCACGCCTTACAGAGCGTAAAATGAAAAATCTTTTCATCCGAATCATCAAAAAACTCAAACAGAAGGAGATTCGTCATATGCCTTCAACTTTATCCGAAGAGTAGGTACGGAACAAGAACCGAATGATAATCTTGAACCTAATAACGACACCTCGTCCACTCTTCTTATTTTGCCTTCTGGAATCGCCCCTTAAATTTTTTCCCACTGGTAGTCGAACTCCCCGTATATAAATATTCTTATTTAAAAAAATAATATAATATTATGTACATATATGTATATAATATGTTGCAAAATAGTACGAGTACGCATATTCTGTTTCGACAAGATGAGAAACGTTTGTCAACTTATTACTAAAACATAAATTTGTAAATCGGTCCGAAAAAATTGCATTCAGATATGTAATCGATCTCTAAGAAGTCTGCATAGAAAACGAATAAAATATCATCATAGGACATTCCAGCATGCGTACAACGTATGAGTATGTATGTGTGTATGTACATTGACGTTCAAAGTTGGCATCCGGTACAAGAAAAAGCGAAATTCTACAATTCCTACAGTTTCCATTACTCGAAAATTGAACTTTAGAAAAAAATTGTTTTGATTTTATACATGTATTAATAAATTTCCCAATATTCCAAAATAACTAGATTTTCCTGCGGAACCCGAGTCTACACGTCAGTGTCATATGTATGTAATAGCATTCGCTACTATCCGCGGATTTCGTTATCTGCGAAAGGCCTTGGAACCAATCCCCCGCGAATACGGGGGTCCTAGTGTACCTAATTTAAGCTCCGACGTTAAAATTTGTTGAAGGACATATAAGTGCATATTGTTACATTCAGGACAAAGTAGTATAGTATGATATTACTAAATCAGACTTTTGTAAAGGATTGGAAAATTCAGAAAATATGCCGATGGTAGAAAATATTTAGCTATTTTTAATTCTTTAACCCTTTAACGCCTAGACCCTTTATTGTTATTTCAAAATTATGAGACTGATATATATGTTGTATCTCGTTTTAGGTCGAAAATATCGATATTAAACAGACTTGTTTTTTATAATTTTTTTTTCTCTTTTTTATAAGAGAATACTTGAATTTCTCAACTAAAAACGTGGAGATTTACTTCACATCAGTGAAACTACAGTTCTTTGCTGACGAAAGTTAAATATTAACCGGTGACAGAATTTGACGCACTTTTAAAATGAACGTTACACCGGTGCAACATTGGGTGTTAAAGGGTTAAAAATAGTCAATTCTTTGGAAAGTGTAATTTTAATAACAAATATATTTTTTGCTCACAATTACTGACGTCTCCAACAGAATAAACCCTATTGTTTATTAACAATAGAATAAAATTGAAAGTGTAAAAAACTAAAAACCGTTGATTTGTTTCCTTAATAGTTATCGGTAATATTAGCATGGAACTATTATTGTCAGATAGATCTTTCAGTACTTTACTTACAGGTCGACGTAAAACTTTCCGTAAAATACGTGTATTCACAGCACGAATTCCCTTCCGTGTGTTGGAAAAGTCGAACACACTTTCACACTAATGATGTACTCTGATACAACAATTAACAATTACATGAAATTAGAAGAAAAAGCCAGTCTTTGGACTATACGATGCAGTTTACAAAGGTTTACTGACGTCTATCTCCGCCGAATTTGGAAGAGAGGGAAAACGTACTGAACGAACTCCAAGAATAGTTCGCTATCCCCTAGTCTTCAACCTCCCACTTCACGAGTAAGGAACTATACAGGGTGTCTTACCTAAGTGCAAACATCTAAACATCTTCATAATTTTCAATGATACGAGAAATGTGTCAAATACAATTTGAACATTAAGACGTAGTACATCGACGCAATCCTGCAGAACCCCAGAATTAGTAAAATTATTTATGCCTATATTAACGCTGACCCTTATGGAGCGGCAACCATAACTGCAACAGGTTTCGATCGCATTACCCAACTGAACGGACATCATTTTTCTTCATCACGCATTAGATTCGAAGTCCAACGTACGTACATTAGTACTCTCTAGTGATTGGAATCCAGAAATTACAAGAGCATTGTTAAAATCAAAATTGTTTGTAACGGTTGACACTGTCTCTCGTTGTGCGTACCCCGTTTAGCTCACTTTGGATAGCTCTTCCAACGTTATGCTGACAGCTTCTGTCTTGACCAAGCATTCAATTTAAAGCTGAAAGAACGTAGATTAATCTCATGTCATTGACAATATCAATAAACGACCAGAACACTGTTAAAATCGCATTTAATCGCTGAATACCACTATTTTTTTGACCGGTGGCGCCGCCCGTGGCAAATCGCTCAAACTGCTAGCCAAATCATACCGACAGGTGAGTGAAAATTTCTGGCGATGGAAAAATGCTAATATCTCAGTAATTAGGAGTGCAAAATAAACGTCGTTAGTCTCAAATTGTTCCTGACGACTCATTACGTAACCCCAATACTGCATAAACGCAGAATTAATCAAATTATTTATGCATATATTAATGTAGACCCCTATGGAGCGGCAACCCTAATTGCAGCAGGTTTCAATCGCATTTACACCCTTAAACGAGCATAAGTTTTCATTCTCAGGCTTTGGGTTCCAAAATCAAAGAACGTAGATTAATATCCTATAGCGACTGGGAATAAGTAATAATAAGAACATCATTAATACCACAATTATCTGCAACGGTTGACACTGTGTCTCGTCATGCGCACCTCCTATAGTTCACTTTGAATAGCTCTTACAGTGTTATGCAAACAGATTTCGGCGTGATCAGGCATTTGCTTCAAAGCTTACAGACTGTAGATGAATATCCTCTAGCAACTGAGAACCAGTAATAAATAAGAATATTATTAAAATCACAATTGTTTGCAAAAGTTTACAATGTATCCCGTCATGCGTCCCCCGTTTAGTTCACTTTGGACAACGATTACAACGTTACACTGATAGCTTCCGTCTTGACCAAGCCTTCCGTTTATAGCTTGAAGAACGTAGATTAATCCCGTGTCATTGATAATATCAATAAGTGTCCAGAACACTGTTAAAATCGCATTTAATCGCGGAGTACCACTATTTTTTTGACCAGTGGCGCCATCCGTGGCGAATTGCTGAAACTACTAGCCAATTATATGGCTACCAGTTTCAGCAATTCGCCACGGATGGCGCCACCGGTCAAAAAAATAGTGGTACTCCGCATTTAAATGCGATTTTAACGGTGTTCTGGTCGTTTATTGTTATTTTCAATGACAGGAGATTAATCTATGTTCTTTTAGCTTCAAACTGAATGATTGATCAAGACGTAACTTGTCCATAGCACGTTGGAAGAGCTATTTAAAGTGAACTAAACGGGGTACGCATCGCGAGATAGAGTGTCAACCGTTGCAAACAATTAAGATTTTAACAATGTTGTTGTAATTACTGGTTCCCACCTGCCAAAGAGTACTAATCTGCATTCTTTAAACTTCAAATGTAATCCAAGACGAGGAAAACTGATGATCGTTTAGCAATGTAAATCCGATCGAAAACTGTTAACAGGCAACACTTTTCTTCGTCATGCATTACATTCGAAGTTTAAAGAATGTAGATTAGTACCCTATAACGGCTGATTCGTCTTGACCAAGCACTCAACTTGTAGCTGAAAGAACGTAGATTAATCTCCTGTCAGTGGCAATAACAATAAACGACCAGAACACTGTTAAAATCGCA